TATAGAATATACCTACTGGCTCCCTGAAGAACCAAAGGTTCACTTTCCAGGGTACCAAGTCAAGTGATGATAATGATAGTGATAACGATGCTGGGGAGGATGGGCATGATGATAGTGATGCTGATGGTGGCAGGGATGACGCTGAGAGGAACTATGCAGGTGTTTCTGCGAGGTTCTGACCTGAGCACTCCTCTCTCTCTACCTCTCATACCTGAGTCATCTCACCCACTCTCCTGCCCCAACTGTCTCCTCCAGGTTGATAACACTTGACCCTATGCCTCCAACTCCAGGTGTTCTCACTCACCAAAGGCCCTAGACACTGATTTTGTAGAAACAGACTTCTTATAACCCACACAATGGAGAAGCATTGCTGGCTGCATTTATCTCAGCAGTGACTTCAGGAGTGTGTGTGTGTGTGTGTGTGTGTGTGTGTGTGTGTGTGTGTGTGTCTGTGTGTGTGTGTGTGTGTGTCTGTGTGTGTGTGTGAATGATAAGTCATTTAAATAGCTGAACGATGTCCACAGAGGAGACAGGATCTTCCCACAGCTGCCAGGCTGGGTCAGACCTGGCTGCCACGTGCTCTTACCCACCTACTCGACTCGTGTAGCAATGCCTCAGTCTCTGGGGGCTCTAACTTGACTCTTTGACACTTCATGTTGACTTTGCCCGATTCCAAATCTCTGACCCACCCAGGAGAGGGAAAGAGGGTGAGGCAACATGTCGGTCCCCCCACTAGCCTGGGTTCACACCACAACTGAAAACCTGTAATTAGTGGTCTCCCAAGTGGAGATCTGTGTCTAAGGGTTCTGTTTGCTTCTCCTTTCTCAGAGCTAACACTTTGCTTATTTAAGTGAGGAGCTGTGCCTTGGCCACGATCCGCTGGAGAAAACAACTCTGAAGGTCCAAAGCATGTTTGCATTTACAAGTGTTGACAAGGGGTGATCTTTTTCAAGGAGTCCTGCTGCCTGCCCCATGTCTATTCACACAGAGCTCACATCTTCGTTTTGAGGGACCTGAATTCTAAAATGCTTTTTAAAATAGAAGACACACTTTAATATGATTCTCAAATGCTTAGAAAACAAATGTGTGCACGCACACACACACACACAAATAAGCATGAACTACTGTCTAAGAAGCCAACAAAGAAATTGACAATCTCAGCTCTTCCCAGATCTGGGAGCTTCTCTGTGCCTCAGTTTCCCCATAGAAAGTACTACGTGTGTCCTGCCCTGTTAGAGCTATCCAAAGAGAGAAGGGGCTTCCTCGGGAAGTGATAAGCTCCCCATTCCTTAGGGTGTGGAAGCAGAGCGTTGATAGCACATGGTGGTGGGGAGGAAACAGGTGATGCTGTGGAGGGTGATGAAATGCTTGAGTCCTCCAATATCTCCCACGAACCTGAGACTCTGCAGTTTTGAGGAGTTCAGGCAAGATGAGTTTATCACAGTAAATGTGATTTAATCTTCTGCCATTGAAGAAAAAGGATGTGGGGGAAAGAAAAGGCTTGGAGTCCTGGGATCTAACCCTGGCCCTGTCACTTCCCAGCTGTGTGACCTAGGACAGGTCACTCAGCCTCTCTGAGCCTCAGCGCCTCCATCTGTCAAGGCAAAGGGAGACTGACACCTGCCTGCCAGAGTCATAAGGATAAACAGGGCAATGCAGCTTACGCTCAACATGCAAATGATGAGCCAACATGCCAATGGTCCTTGGCAAATACTCATTCCTTTACTCCTCCAACTGCCCAGGGCAGATGGGCAGCTTCTACTAGACCCCTAAGCTTCCCCCTGCACCCGGGGTGCCAAGAATCGGACACTATCAACCTCCTCAGCCCCATCAGAAAGGAAGACACTGCTCTCCCTCAACGCCATCTCTTGGCCCCTTAAAGGCCCTCAGATCCTCCTGCCACAGGGCCTTTGCACAGGTTATCCCTTCTGCTGGAAGACCCATTTCCCCCCTTTCTCCAATGCACCTGGTTAGCTCCTACTGATCATTCTAATCTCAACTTGTGAGTCGCTTCCTCTGGAGAACCTTCCCTGCCTCTAAACCAAAAAAAGGCCCATTCCACATTCTCACGGCACCAATGCCTTTCCTCTGGGTTACCACTTAAAGTCCGTGTTCCCCTTGGCTCCTTGGAGGCAGGGTCTACATTAGTTTGGTTCATCGCTGTATCCTCAGCAATGTGCAGTAAATACCTACTGAAAGAACGAAACAATGAATAAAAGGCTCTTTCCCTTCCTGTGCATCTGGCCATCTGCTCCTCCCTCGGTGCCTGTAGTGTGACCACGCAGACACTCACTGATCTGTCAGTGAACTGTCCACGCTGTCCTGATGGCTCCCCCAGAGCATCTGGGCTCCACACGTGAATGAACAACACTGAGCACACCCCAGCCCCGCGCTCAGCTCGTCTCCTCACTCACGGGCTTCCTGAGCTCCTGCCCAGCTCTGGGAGGTACCCTGTACCCATTTCTCAGAGGAAGAAACTGAGCCCGCAGGAAATAACCAGCCCAAGGTCACACGGACAGGCTCAGATTGCCAGCATGGCTCCACAGCCAGGCTCTTCCCACCATCCCATGCGGCATTTCTCATAAGAAGCAGCAGCAACAATGACAAAAGTCCCCCTGGGCCTCTGTTGAAGCTGGTACCACCATGACCCAGGGCCCTGGGTATGGGAGTCCCACGGCAACACCAGGGTCTTTCCCAGGATCTAGGGTCTTTCCCAGGATCTAGATCGGTCTCATTCTCCAGCACAAAGACGCTTCCAGGCCAGCGCCAAGAGCTCAAGGTGATGGGCAGGGGCCAGCTTTTCTCTGGCTATTCAAGATGGACCGGCACCAATGCCCCTCACTAGACTCTCACTTGGCAATGAGTTCGGTCCCTGAAGCTCCCTCTGACAGACGCCAAGCCACATGCTGGCTGGCTTGCTCCCACTGGCGTTTCTCGAGAACCCCCAGCAGGGGGCTGCGTCTCCTTGACTGGTACAGGGAGTCTCAGGACATCACAGATCTTGGGCTGGGTCCTGCCCACAGCACCTTGGATATCTTCGTCACCAAGTTCTTGGTGCCCAAACTCACTCCCCAGGATGCTCAGAGGCGGCGGAGAGCTCCCACCCAGGCACAGAAGGGCAGAGGCTGGGGTGGGGCGGGGTTAATGTTATCTCCTACTGGGCCAGCCCTGCATGCGATGGTCAGGCTACAGAACTGTGTTTTTCCAGCCCCCTGGCTTGGTTTGGGGGAGGATGAAGATGAGACGGTCTGAGCTGGCTTTTTGGAGGTGGTTTGGTGATTGATGGGAAGAACCTCTGGATGAAATGATCGGACTGAGGAGTGACCTTATTATTACTCAAGAGAGGACAGAGCCCCATTCAGCAGCAGATGTATGGACACAAGGCCCCCTTCCCTTCCCTTCCTCCCCTCATCTTTCCTCATCTGAGATCCATCCATGACCAGGCTCTTTTGAGTCTAGGACAGAACCCAGGTCAGTGAGGGTCTAGGGTGACCCAGAGGCATCCAGCTTGGGAGACTGGGTAGTGAGGATGCTTTGCTGATATGGGGAACGGGGTTTGGCTGGACACAGGGAATACGGCGAGGTCAGCTTTAGACATGCTGAGTCGAGGGGTCTCCCGGGTAAACATCCCACATCTAGCTTGGGCCTTGGCACTGAAGCTAGAAGGAGACCCAGACCAGAGTTGGACCAGAGAGAGAGAGAGGCCTAGAGTTGGGGAACAAAGCCACGGCAGGAAGGAACTGCTGCGGAGAGAGTGAGTTGTGAGAGGGAAAGAGGCCCCAGAGAACCCGGTGGATGTGACCATGTAAGAAAGAGGCGCTGTATTTCTAGGGTCTCTGAGCAGTTAGTTCTTATTAATTATAAAAGAAATGAGAGCAGTTTCACAGGCGAGAAATTTGGTAGTCATCACCTTCATCACGTGATCAGAATCAGCATCACCAATATGGGGGTGTGTCAATATCACATGTCCCCAATAAGACGCACTGAGAACACAGCATCACTTCTGGGATATGCTTTCCAGAAACGCAGAGCAGGGAAACACCGGGGAAACCCAAAGTGAGGGACGTTCTACAGAATATCTGGCCTGTACTCAAGAAGGTCAAGGTCAAGAAAAACTGAGGACTGGTCCCAGCTTAGAGGAGACTAAAGAGGTGGGATGACTGCATGTAACGTGTGATCCTAGGTTGGATCCTGGACTGCGGAAAAGGCTATAAAAGACTGTAAATGGTACATGCCTACAATGGAATGTTATTCTGTGTAAAAGGAAATGAAATATCAGCCACAAAAAGGCATGGAGGAAACTCAAGTGCATGTTGCTAAGTGAAAGAAGTAAGAAAATCAGTGGTTGCTGGGGCTCTGGGGGAGGGGAGAGGGATAAAGAGGAAGAGCTGGGAGAAGGTTGAGGCAGTGACACCATTCTGCGTGACACTGCAACGTCATCAGATATTTGTCAAAGCCCATAGAATGTGCAACACAAAAAGTGAACCCTAACGTTAACTATGAACTCCGGTTAATAGTGATGATTTTTTAAAACCATAGCTATTGAATGAATAATAAAGTGGACTAACAAATGAAAAGAAAAAAAAGCATAGATATTGTGAGAGAAAGTTATTGCCTAACGTGGAAAACTCACTAAGAGATTTAGTGAGTTCTGAGATTTGGTCGTACAATATTTCTTCTGCTCTACCACGCTGAATGTAAGGTGCAGCACTATTTTACACACGGCTAAGAAAGAAAGAGACCCAACAACCAACATGGAGCGTCTGATTGGAGATCCCACCTAATGCCGGGGCCACACGGGGCTATGCGTTCAGGGTCAGGGGGAACTGAGGGTTCATCGCGCCCCACCGAAAGGGGAAGCAAGGAAATCCCAGGTCTTATCTTGGCACTGGGTGCAGGCAGGAAATAAAGTCTACCCTGAGAATTTGAACCTCAGTCCAGAGCTCCCAGAGGTGGGTCATCTAAATTGACACAATCAGTGTGGTCCAATGGAAAACAACTCAACCTCCAAGGAGAGATTTTAATTTAAAGAAATCTCAGGTGGAAAGTGTCCCGGGTGGCAGAAAAAAGTAAGCCCCAGTCTTCGCTGGAAAAACTAGATTGTAATAGGACACCCCATTCCCGAGAGGTGAAAATGTGAATAATTATGAGTCTAAAACCTGTGAATAAAATGCCACTCTCGAGCCTCTCACCATCTGGACCCGTCACCCAGAGGCCACAGCATGGGACGCCCGGGAGGAATCTGCTCTCCATGCCTGCACACGGGCATGTGGCCCCGCCCAGTGCACGCCGGCAAAGGCAAGCATTGGCAAATCTACTCCTCAACTAACAGGCTGTCTCAGGTAGGACCCCTTCCCTGTACCAGCGCAGGAATTCAGTCGACTCACAGCCCAACAGCAGCTTGAAAAGCAATGACATTTCATGTGTCTGATTGCTTCAAGCAGACGTATCCGGTGGCACTGAGCTGGCCAGTGTGTAGGCAGCTGCAAATTTAATAAATCTTAATTATTCTGTTTATATAAACAAGCAGGCTGAAGCCACTGACGTAGTTGGAGCTTTCAGTGGCTTGGTGTGTGGAGAGAAAAAAAGTGTGGAGAGCCAACTGCTCATAAATAATCAGCTTTGGGGCAGGGTTTTCTTTTTTTTCCCCCCCTTCCCTTTGGACTAAAACTAATATATGGAATGTTTTTAAGTTGGCAAGATTACAACCTCGGAAAACAGCACCTATTTTCTACCTGTCAGACCTGCGTGTGTATGTGCGGAGCCCCACGCACGCATGTGCGCACCCCTCCCAGCCAAACAACACCAGAGCCGCACCAGCGGGAGGAGCCCCCCCACTGCTCCCCCCAGAAGCGGCACTATCCCTCTGCCATCAGGAAGGGAAGCAGAGGCAGTGACTGCAGACCCCTCCTCGGTCCTCATTTACATGGCAATTAAGAATCTGCTGGTTTACGATAAGAACTGTTAGTTCAGCGGACCCGCATTTTATTCCTTGGAAAACCCTGGTTAAGTGACTCGCCAACGGTCACACACACTGATGGTGGATCCTGGACTCAGATCCAGAGCGTACAGCAGCGGTTCTCAAAGTCTGGTCCCCAGGCCAGCGGCAACAGCGTCATCTGGGAGCTCGATGGACATGCAGATCCTAGGCAACCTCCCCCCAGACCTAATGCATCAGAAACTCTGGATGTGGGACCCAGAAATCTGTGCTGAAACAAGCTCATATAAAGGAACCCCAGATGGCCTCTGCAGATTGGCTTCCCAGTTGCTTGCTTCTTCACGGGGGGCTGAGACCCATGAGCTCAAAAGCCAGCCAGCACCGAACTCAAACTTTCACACATTGATTTGTTTCTAAATGAAGCCTGAATAAGAAGATTTTTTTTAGCCATTTAGAGTCTGCCTGCTTTGCATATCCCATGAAACTGTGCCCAACGTGGGACAGTCATAGATAAGATCAACCCTGTAGCTGTAAAGACCTCAAGCCACTGCTGTCCTTGGGCGGTCCCTGGCCAGAGATTCGACATCGTGCGGGCAACACCGGCTGTGGGTGTGAGCCTCTCTCCCAAACCCCGCCACCCAGCACTCCCCGAGCAGGCCTTTGCTCTGGTGAGCTATCCCCAGTACCTGAAACAGTGCTTGGTACAAAGTCAGTGCTCAGTACATATCTGAAATGAACGAATGAGGAGCCGGTCAATGAACCTAGGGTGGTGAACATTCCACATGAACCGGTTTCAGGCTGCCAGGGACCCGAGTCTGCGCTGCAGGGCTGGTGTCAGCCAGCCAAGCGCCCCCCTACTCAAAAACACCACAGGACCCAGACATGGCTGCCCCTGGACTCTGGCCTGGAGCCACATAGATGGGGCTCCCAACCAGAGTGGCTTAAAGAGCAGGAGTTGGAGACAGCCTGGACACCGGGCCCTGAGCCCCCCTGTGCCACCAGGAGTCACAGGCTGGGCTGTGTGCGCCACCCTGCCTTCCTGCCCTCTGTTCTTCTAAATCAGGGGGGAAAACCAGGGCTTCCGGTCTCCTCTAAAGAACGAACAACAGTTCACATGATCTTCAAAATTCGTTCATGAAGTAAATAAAGTCGGCACTGATGGTTCCATTTTACAGATGGGGAAAGTAAGCCCCAAGAGTCAAAGCAACTTGCCCGAGGCCGCAAAGCTGGTGGACGCCAGGCCCAGAGCACAGCATTGGTCTTGTGACTGCCCCAGCCAGTCCCGGGGACACCTGCCGTCCCACAGATGGAGACATGAACACCAGCTGGAGACCAAGAAGTCCAGGTGGACAGAGCCCCTGGGAACAGACTGCAGGGCCTGAGAGGTCTCGTGGCCCCGGGGCTCTTCGGAGCAGAGCGTGCTGCAGACTCACGTCATGAGCCAACGCTTGTCAGGACAACAAGCGTGCGCTCAGAAAAGGTGGCGCTGGGGACACCAATTTACACGGGACTTTTCCAGAAGGGGGGAGAGCCTCCAGCCCCCAGGGATGCTTTCTCCAAGGCACAGAGTGGGTGGTTACGTGTGGGCTTAGGAGGCAGAGGCCAGAGGGCACTCAGGAGCCGTGCGTCTTGAATGGACATGTCACTCCGATCTTGCCTTCCCTTGTTTGCCTCATGCTTAACATGGCGGTAGCGATGCCTGCTGGGTGTCTAGGGGACAGTTGAGTGAAACGCCCTCACCGCGATTTGGCACAGAACCTGGCACACGCTGGATGGGCAACATGTAGCATGTAGAGTGATAATTCTTATTCCTCATTATTACCATGATTACTGCTGTTACTGTCGTTGCTTTGGCCTGCAAGCCCCGCGGGAAGGGCTCTGAGCGCTTCACCCCTTCCTTTTTTGTCCCCCCCGGATGCCCGTCTACTACTCAGGTGGCCGCGCGGTCCAGTGACCCGGAGTGGTCCAGGTTTCCTGGGACCGTCCCAGTTTACGACTGCTGTCACAGCAGTGTCCTGGCTCACTCCTCCCGTGTCCTGTCACAGCTGAGAACACTGTGCATCCCTGAGAGCAAGGACCCCCCGGGGGCCCAGCACAGTGCAGCCCAGAGCCGATTCCCCAGAAACGTCCCTCAGACCTCATGGAACCTTCCAGAAAGCCCAGGGGTCCTGCCCCAGCATCACAGGCCCAGCAACCCTCCAAACGCCCTGCCCTCTAGCTGTGTGGAGCAGATGGCAGACACCATACCTTTTGGAATCCAGTCGGCTCCCCTGGAGAATTCTGCGTCTGTTATTTTAGGTAAGGAGAGGAAAAGGGAAAAAAAAAAAAACGAAGTTAAGTGAGTGAAACTTAAATCCCAGCAGAGCCTGTAATGGAATATTCATTTTGTCAGGGGAGTGTTTCTTTAAAACTTGTGGTCATCTGGACAGGCTGAACCAGCAGGTGATTCAATTTAATGAGCTTTTTAACATGCATGGGGCCCAGGTGGGGATCCTGTCTGGGAAGCCCTGGGCCAAGGCCACGGGCATGCTGACCTGGCTGGGGCTGGGGTGACACCTAGTGGCCGACATGGCTGTTTCAGGGCCAGAAAAGCTGCAGCCCCAAGGCTTGGAGTCTGGGGTCTGAGGGCCTAAAGGGCCCCAGGAGGCCGCCCACCCTGTCCTTGGATTAACCTCCGTGCCTCAGTTTCCCTATCAGTTCTCAGGGACTAATAATGGTGCCGTAATGAGGACATAGCATTTAATAAAGACTGTTATGAGTTTAGCTATTGTTATTGTTTTGTGTGAGACCTGGGGGCGCCTAGGGGGAGGGTGCTTCCTCAATGTCACAAAGCAGGTTAGTGGAGGAGGGGGCCTAGATCGCAGGTCCCACTCCAGCGTTCCCTCTGTCATGCCTCCAACACCAGGGTGCGTTTAGTGCTGGCTTTGCCCCTTCCTAGCCATGTGGACTTGGGTGAGTTTTTTAACTCTCAGAGTCTCAGCCCCACTCTGGAGGCTGGAGCTGCAATTACTCCGGCAGAGGGCTGCTGTAAGCACGGAATGGGACGATGCACGTCACGGTTTCAGGTTGGTAAGTAGCAAAGCTGTCGTTATTGGAGCTCCAGCCTCCATGGGTGGCAGGAGGGCCAAATGACACATTGCAAGTCACGCGCCTAGGACCCATGAGTCTCCGTCTCCTCTCTCTGGGTGGTCCCCTCAGCCTGGTCTGTGGAGGCATGGGGCAGAGCGGATGCGGGCCCAGCTGTGTCTCCCCAGGGCCTGGGACCTGTGCATCCTCAGCACGTACACGCAGGTGGCCGGAGTCCTTTAGTTTGGACTTGTAGAGCATCCACCGGTAGCGCAGATCCTCCAGCTTATCTGAGGACCCCCTCGCTGGCCTGAGACGAAGGAGGTTTTCAAAGAGATGCTGACCTTCTGGTACCCGAGCCTCCAGCTCCTAGAGGGAGAAAGACAGGGTCACGTGTGCCTTCCAAATGGCCGAGGAGGTCCCACCTGGTTGGTCCGGAGGAGCCATTCAGATTTCACTTAAGAGGCAGCCCACAGAATAAGGCCCTGCGTGATAAACTCGGGAGGTTGAACGCTACACTGAAATGTTTTCACTGGGGGAAGACAAGGTCATATTTAGGATTCTGAACGGTCACTCTGGCTACAGAATGAGCCATTACTGAGATGCGGACCCAACAGGAAGGAGGGAGGCCAGCTTGGAGGCTATTGTCATAGTCAAGGTCAAAAATGATAAATGCCTAGATTAAGACAGTGGTAGTGAGGAAACAAACGACAAAAACCCAGGGGGTGGAATCAAGCAGGGCTTGGCGACTAATTCGACGTGGGAGAAGGAGAAAGATTTGTGGTAGATGGATTAATCCTCCAGCCCCCTGCCACATCCACGCCTTTTGCAATATGACTTTGCAACATTTCCCATCAAGAGGTGGAGTCTATTTTCTCTCCCCTTGAATCTGAACAGGCCTCGTGACTTTCTTTGTCCAACAGAATGCAGGGGAAACGATGTTGTGCCAGTTTCTAGCCTAGGCCTGAAAAGGCCCTGCATGCCCCCACTTGCTCTCTCAGACCCTGCCTCTGTTCTGGGAAGCCCAGGCTGCCCTGCAGGAGGATAAGAGATGAGTGGTGCACCTCGTGCTCATCTCGAATAGCCCACCGAGCTCCAGAGGACAGCCACCCTGCTGGTCTACAAATATGGGCACCCAGCCAAGATCAGAAGCGATGCCCGCTGACCTCAGTCAGTCTGAACTGCCAAACTTCAGAATCATGAATTAAATAAACAGTTGTTCTCTTAAGCTACAAACTGTTGGAATGGCTTGTTCCATAGCAAGAGTTAACCGATAAAAGAATTGTGATTAGTGGTGATATTTTCCAAGTTGGGGACTACAGCAGTAGGCTGAATGAAGAGACGAACGAATGGATGGTTCTTCTAAAATATTGGAAGCAAAAAAGTTTTCTTCTTCTTTTTTTTTTTTTTTTACAAATTTATCTATGTATTTTTTGGCTGCGTTGGGTCTTCATTGCTGCACGCGGGTTTCTCATTGCGGTGGCTTCTCTTGTTGCGGATCACGGGCTCTAGGCGAGTGGGCTTCAATAGTTGTGGCTTGTGGGCTCTAGAGCGCAGGCTCAGTAGTTGTGGCACACGGGCTTAGTTGCTCCGCAGCCTGGGATCGAACCCTTGTCCCCTGCATTGGCAGGCAGATTCTTTACTGCGCTACCAGGGAAGCCCTGAGGCAAAAAAAGTTTTAAAAACTATTATTTATACACAAGCCAGAACAGCTCAAGGGCTATGTATGTGCTCCTGTTTTTAGAACTCCCTGGCGACAAGCACATCTCTGGGGGCAAATCCTTCGGAAACAGGGCCTTTCCTTGGGAACAAACCTGCAGTTTTGTTTCTCTGCTCCTCAGGTCCTTGGCGGTGGCAGTTCTCATGGCGATGATTCTAACCAACTTGGAATTATCCACCTGCAACCAGTGCTCAAAGCTCCTCAGGAGCTGGGAGAAATCTTCACAGCTGTCTTTCTCCTCCTGAAGCACATTTGTCTGCGGGAAGGCACAGCACAACCAACACATCAGCGTTTTTGAAAACAGTCCACTAGCCACATGTCCTGGGGATTCCATCTGAGCAGAGGGGTGGGGCCAAGGATGCCCAAACGGTGATAAGAGACACCTAGGGGTGGGGGGGGGGGGGGCGGGGATGAGGAATGCATCTCCACTCAATGTGGCCATGTTTAGGGGCCAAGGACATTCCTCACCGTCACCTCCCTGGTCTCCTGGAGACAGCCAGCATCATCCCTTACCAGAATGTCTATAACAGTGGTCACCTTCTGCCACTTTTGTCCCCCCCAGGCTATGCGGCCAGAGTGATCTATCTAAAATGCAAGGCCACTCAGCTGAGCCTCACTTATACACTTTAGTGGCCTCTCACACTCCTTGATGTGGCCTGAGAGCCTCAGATTCCGGCTCTGCCTGGCTCTGCAGACCGTGCCACCTGCCCCATCCTCTGAGCTCTCGGCCCCTGGCGCCGGTGCCCTCTCCCTCGGTCTTTGCACCCATGGCCTCCTCCGCGTGGGATGCACCCCCTCCACTCCTCTCCTCGACTCCCACTCGGCCGTGAGGATCCCCCGACATTTCCTTTCTCCCAGGAGGGCTTCGCTACCCCAGGTCACATCACTCTGCAACAGGCTGCCATAGCGCCTGGCCCCTCTGCCTCCGAGAAACGCGTGTTCCGTAAACCCTTATTCTATTGCCTTGCGGTTCCCATTTCCTTGCTCCTCAAAATGTGCTCCGAGGCCAGGAGCCTAAGCATCTCCTGGCAGCTTGTAGAAATGCAGAGTGACGGGCCCCAGCCCAGACCTGCTGAATCAGAATCTGCCTTTTAACACGATCTGGCGGCACATGACAATCTGAAAAGCTCTGTGCTGGATTCTACGTTCTCTGAGGGTTGGAAGTGTCTCTGTTTTATTGACAGCTGTGTCCCAGCTCCAAGCACAGTCCTCAGAACATAGTAACAATCAGAAGTGCTTTCTGGATGGGGAAATGAAAGAACGAATGGGAAAACAACTGAATGGACGTGTTGTCTTTGAAGAAAAAGGAATGGGTTTCTTTCCAATGTGGTTTCGTTTTTTAAAGCCACTCAAGGGAAGGGACGGATGATACTATGTAGGTAGGTTAGTTCTTTTGACAAAATACAGTTTAGGGCACAAAAAATACCCATCTTGTGTGCTTTCCGTTTGCATCTGGGGTCAGCAGGAAGCTTCCAACCCCGACACTCCTCCCTGCAAAGGCAGTAGCCGGGGTTTCTGAGGGTGAGGGCCTGTCTGCCCGAGGGATGCCTGGGACCTTCCCTAGTGGGGACCCCTGGGTCTGGGGTCTCAGAGTTCCTCTGTCCAGTGGCACAGGGAGCTCTTGTGCCACTACCGGACAGGCTCACCTGAGATGGGACATGGTCCAGTCCTGAGTGGAGCATGTGGCCCCAGGCAGGGAAGGGACTTTGCTGGAGACAGCTTCCCACCATCAATTGACTTGGGATCTGGTCCCTCCCCGGAAGCCCCACTAGACGGACTCACCTGACGGTGGTGTCGGAAAATAAGATCCATGGGGGTGATGAGAAACCCAGTCTTTGGGATGTTGTTGGCGAAAATCAGTTTCTTCCCCGAATCCACTTCCATCCTCTGCAGCTGCCGGTTTCTGATGAGGCTGAGAAGACAAACCAGCCCAGTCAGCGTGTTGATGGGATGGGGACTCCCCGGGTCACAGGAGAAGGAACAGAATCAGGGCACCAGGCAGTGGGGGCCGACTTCTGGTCTTCCCAAGCCCACGCCTGTCCTTCGGGTTTGTCAGAACCTCCCCAGGCCACCTGCATCTCCAGTTTCCTGCTAGAGACTCACGTTACTGTCATCAAGGTGCATATACCCATCGATGCAGGTGAGGCCCAAGCCAGGAGGGGCTGGAGGCTAATTCCCGAGCTGAGGCGTTTCCTCGCTCTTAGTGCCTCTACTTAGAATTGCCTGGAGATGCCTGGAGGCAGCTGGGCCACGCCTGGCACCCAGACCCCAGCCTTCTGTTCTAGGAGCGCGGCTGAGCTCTCCCTGGCTGGGAAGGGGGCTGTCCAAGACCAGGCGCAGAGTCGGGAGCCCTCTCACCTCAGCAGGCTTCCCCTCAGCAGCCTCAGGGCCCCCCAAGACTCCACCAACTCCTGAAGCTCCTTCTGGACCACAGCAGCCCCCTCCGGAGAAGACTTCTCCATCACCAGCCGGCCGCGTGCTTCAACCAGGGGCAGCTGGGCCTCCTTCGCGGGGAATTCGTCCAGCAGTTTCTGAAGGACACACACACACACATACACACAGAGTAAGGTAATGGGGAGGGGGGAGGGTCTCTGCTCCCCAAACCTGCTTTTTTGGGATGCAGGGGACAGAATCTCTCTGTGGGGAGAGGCCTCTTACCTCGACATTGACCTCTCGGGACTGGGCATCCCATGGGCCCGTGTCCATGCGGTGGGCCTCCAGCTTCTGCGTGAGCATGGAGATCCACTGTCGCAGCTCCAAAACCTCGTGGCTGAAGGTGCAATGTTCCCGCACGCTCTGCCGGCACGTGTCCACAAGGTCCTGCAGCACAGCCCCGGGGGACCCAGGCTGAGACCTCACCCTGCAGGACCCTCAGCCCTGCCGAAGCCCCAGGGGAGGATGGCCCCCAGGGCTCCCCATCCAGCCAAGAACATGAGCGGTTGGTCTTCTCTTCTGCACAGCGCAAGGAATTTACCCCAGAAAGACCAACTCTGGTTTAAAGTGCTTATAAGCCTGTCCTACTTTTATGGAAAGTACCAGGTCTGGGTGAGGGTGCGGGCAATGGGAGCTCACGTCCGTCACGGGTTTGGGCGTAAACTGGTACAACCACTTGGGAAGACCGTAGGTCTGTATCTACTGAAACCCAACACAGGCACCCCTATGACCCAACCGTTTCATTCCTGCGTGTAACCCATCAGATGTGAACGTATCTTCACCAAAAGGCACGTGTGTGCTGTTACTGGTGAGAGCCCCAGACTGGAAACTACCCAAGTGCCTGTCAATGGTAGATGGATAACTGCATTGAGGTACATTCACAGGAGGGAATAGGTCACCTCCGCCGCAGCCGGAATGAACAATCTACACAACAATCTAGTGTAACGTTATGGATGGATTTACAGCCATCGTGTGGAGACCTAGAAGCCAGAAACAAAATGAAATACGCTGTCTTCATTTGAAGTAACGTATAAAATCAGGCAAACCCAATCAATGCCGTGCCAAGTCGAAGGTCAGGGTTACTTGCAGGTGTCAGGCAGCAACTGGAGGGGGCACGAGGACAGGTATTGTTCTGTGCTGTGATCTGGGTGCTGGTAACGCAGATTTTTTTTGTTTTTACGAATGCATTAAGCTGCATACTTAGATGTTCACTTTTCTGTATATGATTTACTTTGATAAAAAGTCTTTCAAATGGTCTTGCTTTGTTTCCCCTCCCGTGAGTCAGTCATGGCTCAGCTCTCTGGGACCTTGTTCATCTCTGTCTCCACAAAAGGTGGGTGCTGTATCCAGCAGAGTAACCATTCTCCGTCCTCCTGGTCACACAGCCTGAGACCCTCGAAGCCCCTCCCTCTCAGCCCACCACAGGCCAGTCAGACCCCAGGGTCTGTGGTCCCCTCTCTTGCTGTGATTCTCAGTTTAGGTCCTTGTGATTCTTTGCTGGGCCACCGTAGGGCCTGCCTTCCTGCATTCCAGACACTGGCTGACACCACTGGCTGCCACTAGAAGCTGGGGACTTCCCTGCACTGTCACTACTACCGTCTCCTCCTGTCCCCTGTGCACCAACATCAGACGCAATGCCTTACGCAATGGGGTATGTGCCCCCCAGGGGGACAGGAAGATCTCCTGGGCTACGGGGGAAGGACTTACTAGAACTTACTAGACTTAAAAAGCACCGAGCACCAAAATAATAAAAGAAGGGCAATACTTCTTTGAAGAAGCATTTAAACAATAAAGAAGTATGAGAGAAATGGAATATCACCACTTTGCAAGCCTTGCGATGCTCAGCTAATACTTCTTCTAATTATTATAACAATCCATTAGCTCATCGTTTGGATGTAGGCGTGAAAGCTGATGTCTGCTGCTTCTGTGGGCTCTGCGGGCCCCTGAAGAGCAAGCACAGTGATTCCTACCTATTTCTCTACTTTCCCGGCCCCAACCTTGAGACCACACGCTTTTAATTTATTAAATGGAATTAAATGCATTCATCCAGACCTTATGCCTCGATTAAGACCAACAATGCAGAGCTAACCCACACCTCGCAAGGTCTTCTCATGTCCTACTGATGTCCACAGAGATGAAAAAGCTGTTTATCGTGACCCGAGCTTAGAGTCTTACTCCAGCACTCTCATCACTAGAGGCATTTGTAGCTGTTGCGTAGAGCGAGTGCGGTCTGACCACCTCCGATGTCTTTGGTGTAGCCTTCTTGGAGTACCTACTTCATCAAAAGGCATTATTTTATTTTATTTTATTTTTCTAAAAGGTTATTTTATGACACAGGCTTTTTTCCTCTTTTAATGTATTTATTTATTTTTGGCTGCGTTGGGTCTTCGTTGCTGCATGCAGGCTTTCTCTAGTTGCAGCGAGCGGGGGCTACTCTTTGTTGCGGTGCGCGGGCTTCTCACTGCGGTGGCTTCTCTTATCGTGGAGCACGGGCTCTAGGCGCATGGGCTTCAGTGGTTGCAGCACGTGGGCTCAGTAGTTGTGGCTCGCGGGCTCTAGAGCGCAGGCTCAGTAGTTGTGGTGCAGGGGCTTAGTTGCTCCGCGGCATGTGGGATCTTCCCGGACCAGGGCTCAAATCTGTGTCCCCTGCATTGGCAGGTGGATTCTTAACCACTGCGCCACCAGTGGTTTATTTAAAAATAAATTTTATCTATTTTATAAATTGAAGTATAGTTGATATACAACGTTTCAGGTGTACAGCAAAGTGATTCAGTTATATGTACATATATATGTGTATATATATATATATATTCTTTTTCAGATTCTTTTCCATTATAGGTTATTATAAGGCATTATTTTATTATAATTACTCTCCTTTTATTTCTCTTTTTCATAATAGAAAAAGCGTTATATTAAATTTTAAAATTGTGCAGGTAACTCTGTGATTCAGGGTTGCAAAGAAGATGTCAGGAATATTTGTTATTAACATAGGGCATGCAGGGTCCAGAAGGGTGGAGAACCCTGCCTTAGACTAGCGTTCTTGAGCTGTGGCTGCCTGACAGCTGGCTTTGCACGCCGGCGGCACTTGTTACAAACGCAGACCCAGGACGCCATTTAAATCGGTGTCAGGGTGGGGCTGGAGCCTGCATTTCAACTTGTCCTCAGGCCAGTTTTGAAGGAGCCATCCCACTACCCACACCTACTGGCCGTCCCACCACCAAAGGGGCATCGATCCTGCGTGGACCCCAGCAAGATCCAGGTGGCCACTAGAGGGCACTGCATACGGGGCTTACGGCCACCAGGACCCACCTTTCAACCTGGCGTTACCGCCACAAACGTGACGGGGACTGCTGCGTGTGTGCAGCCTGGTCCGTGCTTTGGCTTCCTGGCACATGTGGAATGGTATGCTTAACTTGTTGCTGACTCCGTTGTTCATCTACCCACCAGAACTTAAACCCAGGAGAGCAGGGGCCTTGGCTGTCCTGCTCGTGCTGCCTCAATCCTTAGAGCCCAGAACACTGCCTGGCATACAGGAGGTGCTCAGTAATTGAGGTGCTCCTGAATGAATGAGGAAGGGAAGAAAGGAAGGGAGAAAGAAAAAGAAGGGTTGGAAGGAACAAAGGAAGAAAAGAGGGAGAAAGTCCCCAGGAGTGTCAGATGTCTCTGTCACAGCACAGACCCTCTGCTGGCCCCTTACCTCCAGAGACCTGTGCAGGGTCTGGTGGTCAGAGGAGAGCTGGTCCATTCTGTGCTGGTGGTGGGAGTTCCCCTGGACGAGAGGCCTCATGGCCTCCATCTGCATCCCCAGGTCCAGTCCCTCCTCCTGTAGCCCCTGCAGGAGAGGAAGGAATGAGTGGAGCGCGCTTTCCGCTTCTCCTTGTGGAAGCTGATCAGGGCGGGGGCTCCGAGTGGGAGAGACTGGGAGGGTCCCGGGACCGTGGGACTCCCCCTCTCCATCCGCTGCACCATATGGCTGTCTGATGGGCCCATTCTCAGGACTGGTGAGAATTTTAAAAATGAGATGAAAACATTCTGAGACACCATGAAAATAAACTGCTAAAGACCAGAAGGCATCTCTGGGGGACAAACTCACGTCTGGACTCAGACTTGATGACCACTTCTTAATATGAAAAATCACATCTCAGCTTTAGTTTTAAAGCCCCAAATGCATCATTTTTAATACCTTCCAAAGAACATTCCCAGTTATGTATGAGCTGTGCCTGGGTTTTAAAAAGATAATTGTTGTTTCACGTGCATTTTAAAAACCGGCAAGCTCCTCACGTAGCCAACAATTATTCATGATCAGCCTACGTACAGTCCAGTGTGTTTTCAAACATTTATTCTTAATCCCCAAATCATTTATTTAACTGAAGGCCTCTGGACTCATTAGGAACACTTAGTGAAGCAACTTTAAAAGTAAATATTCACGTTAGACTTTGGAACCATGGAGTAAGCAAAAGGACAGCCTATCATTTTGTTAGGCTCAAGAATCAGCCATTTGGAGGTGCTAAAGGCCTTGCTGAGGCCAGGAACCATCAGGTATATCAGCAGAGATTCATCTGAGATGAAAGGTCAGTTCTCAAGGGAGGGTCTAAATATCTGGCTGGCCGCTGCTTTGCTGGTTACTGTTACTGCAGGGGGCTGCTTCTAGGCACAGCTGAGTATCTGAGTAGAGGTGACTCAGGCCCGACAGACCTCTTACCTGCAACCTCGAAAGCTGGGCCTGTTTCCCAGGAAGGTCCCGCTGAAGCCCATTCTCAGCACGGACCCTGATTTGGAGGTCTGAGAGCCTTCTCTGCAGGGGATCAAAAGCATCTCCGAAATCTTTGTGTTGAGCGAGTGAGCTCTGCGGAGACAGAACAGGCAGCACACAAATCAGCTTTCTTCTCAGGCTCCCAGTGGTACAACCTGACACTCACAGACTAGCTGCTCTATCTCCAGCCTTCTCCTGGCTGGCTCGTACTCACTCAGGCGCCACCCCCTCCAGGAAGCCTTCCTGGAGCCCTTGAGGTGTTTGACTCCCCTCCTTGAGGACCGTAGTGTCCTCACCTAACAGTTGTTCTGCCTCTAGAACAGGGGCTGGCAAACTACATCTCCTACCACACACCCCAAGTCCCAGCAGGGGCCTGTGTTTGTAAATAAAGTTTTATTGGAACACAGCCACACCCATTCATTTACAGCTGCTTTCATGCTACAGCGGCAGAGTTGAGAAGCTGCAACAGAGACCACTTGCCCTGCGAACCCTCAAATGTTTGCTAAATGTTTGCTCCGTGGATTAGATCAGACCAGGGATGTAATGCTCTTAGCAGGTGCCAGGCCCCTGGTCAGTGCCCCAGAGACCATCTCTTTCATCATCATCATTATTAGACGCTCAGCAAACATTTGTTACCTAAAAGAAACTGGCCACAACATCCCATGTTATGTCTGTGATTTCGTGTGACCGTTTAGAAGTGTCCCTAATAATACCAGCTCCCAGCTCTCCAGTGGTTTAAAGTTTACAAGTGTTTTTCTCTGCATTTTCTTATCTGACAGTCCCCAGCTCTTTGCAGAAAACAGTTCGACTTGATCAGTGAAGAAGGGAATTTGGGGGCAGAGGTGGGAGGCCGACAGGTGAGAAGGATCGCGCCATAATCCTACCCAGATGATAGATGAGGGGCCTGAGGTCGTGGGGGACAAAGCGATAGGTCCAGGGCCACGTGGTGGCCAGTGGCAGAGCTGGGGTCAGGATGCAGGGCTGCCCTTCCTGGAGGGCTGGGTCGACGGCTGAGGGCCGCCAGTGGGGCTCACCTGCAGTTTGCTCTTTCTCTGCAGAAGCCGGTTGTGCAGTAAGTCTCTGTCCCTCACGGAAGTTGCCACCTGCTCCAGCAGGGCCGTGGCTCTCTCCTGGCCAAAGATGCCGCCCAGCAGGTCTTTCTTCAGCTGCAGCATCGTCAGCTCCTCCTTCAGGCGGGAGCTTTCCGCCAGGGCCGCCTAGGGGAGACAGGGCCTCCGTGAGCCGCAGGGCAGGATGAGGCTGGAGATGGGGCCAGGAGCGCACCTGTTCTGGCTGTGCCTGCCCAGGAGGCTGGGCCTTGGTGCTGGTTTCCAAGGAAGCAGCAAACGTAAGGAGAAACGGGCTGGCAGGAGGGCGGTAGGAGGCCCTGAATGTCAGGGTCAATCTGATTCCTCTCTCACCTCCACATCCATCTTATTACCAAAGCCCGAGCAAGAATTCTACCTCCTACGTGTTCTGGAAATCCGTCCCCTCTCCATCCCCCACCACTGACTGTGCTCACCTGAACCCCAGAAGCTCCTGACCGCCTGCTGCCTCCCAGCCGCCCCCCAAAATTGACCGTCCAAACTGCAGCCGAACCCCAAACTAACCAGTCTGATCCTCTACTCAGTGATCCTCTATCACCGACAGCAGTGGGCCATCCCCCAGTTGGTGTATGGGACATTTCGAAGGGGCTAAGGGCCTATGGGATCATGATTAGAGGAAATTCTGGAAGGCTTCCCAGAGGAAGTGGCACCTGAGTGAAGTCGTGATGTGTGGGAGCTCACCGGGCAGAAGGGGAGGAAAAGGGGACTCAGCAGCCCTGTGTAATGGGCAGCTGGCTCCTAAGCAGGCAGCCTGAACTCTGCACAGCCCAGGCCCCACCTCCTCCAGGAAGCCTCCCCTGACCACATTCCCAGCCTACATGCACTCTTCCTGCCCCCAAAGCCTTGTTCCTCGCTTCAGGCTCCTGCTGATCAACAGCTGTTGGGGACAAATACCTCTTGCTTCTCTAACTGAGGGCACAGGGGCCCTGGAGGCCAGGGGTTTGGTCTTCAGCTGGCCAGAGTCCTTCCATTTGATATCTGATGATGTTACAGAGATGCTGAGCTGGGCACGGGGCTGGGAGAGGGAGAACTAAGACCCCAGCCCAGGTGTGTGGTTTGCAATTAGCTACACAGAGGTCAAGCTTCTAGCTATAGGGAGTCACCTTCACCCCCTTTTCACCAGACTCAGACACAATATCATGAGGGTTAAGAATTCAGGCTGGGGAGTTGCAATCATGAGTTTGGATTCCATACTAACTGGGAGAACTTGGGCAATTCCAAGCCTCGGTTTCCTCATCGGTAAATTAGGGGTAGTCGTACCCTAGCTCACGGGGCTGCCGTGAGGCTTAAATGCCTAGGAAGCATTTAACATACTGCAGGACCCAGAGTGAACACACCATAAAAGACAGATCTTCTCAGCCATTATTATTTAACCAACTGTTACGTGTTGAATTGTGTCCTTCAAAAAAGATATGGTGGGAAAAAAAAAAAGAAGACTCATGGGGAGAAGATGGCCACGTGACGACAGACACGGAGATCAGAGTGACGGACCTACAAGCCAGTGAACACCAGCGACTGCCAGCAAATACCAGAAGCTAGAAGAGGTAAAGGAGGATTCTCCCCTAGAGCCACTGGGAAGAGCAAGGCCCTCCTGACACCTTGACTTTGGACTTCCAGCTTCCAGAACTTTGAGAGAATGAACTTCTGTTGTTTGAAGTCACCAGTTTTGGGTGCTTTCTTGCAGCAGCCCCAGGGAACGAATACACCAGCCACGCCCAGGTTTTGGCTGGAGCTTTGCAGATGCACAGGCTGCTCTGAGGCTAGATGCAGGAGCTGAGTCAAGACAAGAGAGAGCTGGCAGCTCGAGCCCTGGCCTGTGAAATCCATCCCGCCCAGGTGGGCCGGTGGGAGTGATGAAAGACATACTTCCAGCCAGCAAACAGCGTCCAAACGTGAATAAACCAAAGTCCTGGCCCCAAGTGTTCCAACCCACTGCTCCGCGAAATTCCCGCACTGGGAGTCCTGGGTCATACTCGAGAAAGACGGGACCTCTCTCCTGCTTCAAGGAGGTCCCGGTTTGCTTTCTGCCTTAGTGGGAAGGACAGGATGAAATATAGTTGTGACACAGTGGGGAGAGTTAGACAGGTCTGGGTCAAAGCCAGCCCTGTCACTTAATGGCTGTGTCACATCGAGCAAGTGGCTTCCCCTCTGGGACATCTGTTTTTCTCAACAGTCAAATGATAAGAAGTGTTCTGAATGCCTCGCAAACCTATTTTCAGGAGCCAGAGTGAAGACACGGATAAGAACATTAGACAAGAGTCTAGAACCCACCATTCTGCCCCCAGCTCTGCTCTCTTGAGCAGCCTGACCTTGAACAAGCTCCCTAACTTCTCCCTGGCCCCAGCCCCTCATCAGTAAAATGAGGAGAATGGTAGAAATGGAAACAAAAATCCATGTACATAGATAATCAACATGTGCTAATTATGGCAATGAAAACTGGAAAGAACCTAAACAATCTAAGTGCAGAAACTTTAAAAAAAAAAATGACATGGAATATTCTGCAGCCATTTCAAGTGACGGCTTTACTGACCCATTTTAAAGGCCGCTGAGGAGAAGTTCATATGTGTCAACTGAAAGTATCTGAATATACAACCATACAGCATGAGCTCAAATACACAGTGAGGATGCACACTTGCAGTGGTGGCACCCACCTTGGGGCCATGAAGGCAGACGTGGTTTAGAGCTGGAAAGAGCTTGGGTCCTGGAAGATACTGCTGAGCTATCAAGCCAGCTCTGGGACGACCTGAAAGTCTCCGTGTTTGTTTGTTTGTTTAATTATTTAATTTTTTTGGCCGCGTTGGGTCTTCGTTGCTGCTCGCGGGCTTTCTCTAGTTGAGGTGAGCGGGGGCTACTCTTCGTTGCAGTGCACGGGTTTCTTATTGCGGTGGCCTCTCTTGTTGCGGAGCACGGGCTCTAGGCGCGTGGGCTCAGTAGTTGTGGCTCGCGGGCTCTAGAGCGCAGGCTCAGTAGTTATGGCGCACGGGCTTAGTTGCTCTGTGGCATGTGGGATCTTCCCGGAGCGGGGCTCGAACCCGTGTCCCCTGCATTGGCAGGCAGATTCTTAACCGCTGTGCCACCAGGGAAGTCCCGTCTCTGTGTTTTAAGCCACCACTGATCAGGTTTCCTGTCACTTGTCACATGCAGCCCAATTGACACACAATAAAGGTAATGGCCTGACACCGTGTTTCTCAGCACTGCTCAGGCTTCCACCTGAGGCCTGCCTGCAGCAGGGTCCTAAAGAGAAGGGCTGAGCGCAGATCCGTGCAGTCCTGGAGCCACACCAGGCACCAGGCTTCACCTCCTTCCCAAGAACTGACGGTGACTTTTGTCGCTGATAACTACAAGTGTTGACATTTCCTGTGCACTTAGAACTCACCAGACAGGGTACAGTGGGCTCCACCCAGACATCTGGAGGACCCAGAGACACACCTGTCCCTGCGGGGGCGCCTGAAATGCTATGCTTGGCTGGTGGCCTCCCCCAGCTGCACCCATCAGCCCTCCCGACAGAGCCATGCGGACCTCAATCTGCGGCAGGAAGGTGTGGATGGAGGGCGGGTCCGGCAGGCTGGCGGTGACGTCCACGATCCTCTGGGCCAGAGCCCTCCACAGCTGCAGCTCCTGCAGGGGCCGCTGGAAATGCCGCCACAGGTCCACGCCCGCGGCATTACGTAGCCTGCTGCTCTTGGCTTTCATGCTGTGAGCACCGTGCAGGGGGAACCGAGAGAGGAGAGAGCGGGTCAGTATAAGAGCAAGGCCGCTGCCCAGAACCCAGAGCGCCCGGCTTGTGCTGCTTCCAGGGCGGGCACTCTCCTCTTCTACGGACTACTGGGCTGTCCACGGGACCCTGAGGCCTATGCTGTCCAGATAAAAGGGCACTGGAGGTAAGCCAGTCCTCGAATAGACTTGCATCCCAGCTTCTGGACCAGGGAAAGAGTCAAGCCTGGAAGAGGAATTATTGAGCCCCCAGGCTGGTACCGCCTGCCCCCAGGCACCTCACGGAAGCAAAACAGAATACTTTCTTGAGTAGGATGCCATTACTTGAGGCCCAAATAATTTCTACAAATAATTTTTCCAATATGCTGTCCATTGTATATAGCACAGGGAACTATATTCCATAACTTGTAATAACCTATAATGGAAAAGAATCTGAAAAAGAAATGATATATATGTATAACCGCATCACTTTGCTATACACCTGAAACGAACAAAACGTTGTAAATCAACTACATTTCCAAAAAAATACATATATATATATGTACAGATATAATGTCTAGCGCCCAGTCATAGATAACCAGCACCTGCCCCCTCCACGAGAGCAACGAAGGGGAGGGAGACCTCGGCCACCCGCTCCCACGGCCCGCTATGCACAGGAGGTTCAGTCTCACCACCACCTCAGCGTCTTGTGCAGGATCCAGGCCCTTGTTCTGCGTGTACACATGTAGGGCCTGTGCACACCGTGGGGCGAGAGTCACCTGGCAAGGCAGGAGGTCCCTGAGTTCCTTCTCGAGGAAAACCCCTGCATCAGAGGCAGGAGGATGAGAAGTGCTACAGGGGCGGGGACAGCTGGGCTGTGTTCCAAACACCTCTGAGCCTCACGCAGTAAAAACAGGTACCGATTCTGAATTTACACTGTGCCCAGCTCCACACAGGGTGGATGTTTGAACTGCTGGTCTTTGCTGGGCTAAGAAGCTGGACCTAGCCGCGCCCGAACCCATGGGCGGACACGGAGGTAGCGGCTGGTCTGAAGTCAGGTCCAGCGCTTACATCAGCACGGCCGTCAGCAAGTGGGGCACGATGCTGGCCTAGTGAAAAGCCCTCCCCTTCGGCCATTACATAGGGGACCCATCCCCCGTGCGAAGCTGCATAAGGAGACTTGATGGAAATAAGTGAAGAGGCCACATAGCACAGAGAAAAGCAAAGTTCAGGCCTCTTTCTGGGAGCAGAATGGAAAAAACTTCGAAAAGGGGTCAGTACCTGAGCCCAGTGAGACCCTATAATGGCCAGTCGTTGATAAGAACAAGAACTATTTGTTATCAGGCAGCAAGAGATGCAAGCACCTCTGCAGCTGGCGTCAGATGGGCAGAGGCCCTGAGCAAAGCCCCCTCTGCAGCTGGCATCAGATGGGCAGAGGCCCTGAGCAAAGCCCCCTCTGCAGCTGGCGTCAGATGGGCAGAGGCCCTGAGCATGAGGCCCAGGACCACCCGCGGCCCGCCCAGTACCTCTGGTGCTCCTGGATGGCAGAGACCACGCTGCCCGCGAGGGGCTGCGGGTCCTCGGGGAACACGATGAGCTCCTTCAGCCGGGCCTGCAGACGGTCCACCCGAGGCTCCTCCGCGGCCAGCGCCGCCCGCGTGGCCTGCAGCAACAGACAACACCCGACGGGACAGGTGAGCTTCCGAGATGGGATGGCGGTGTGTGTGCACCGGGGTGAGCATATCCTGTGGAAGTGGGCCAGCCTGGGGGAAAACGGTCCCCCAGGGGAGGGACAGGGGCCCCGAGAGCTCAGCCCCTGCTCTCCCTTGCTCTCCCGCTCCGTGACCCCAAACACATTTGCTCTTTTTTTTTCTTTGCGGTACGCGGGCCTCTCACTGTTGTGGCCTCTCCCATTGCGGAGCACAGGCTCCGGACGCGCAGGCTCACTGGCCATGGCTCACGGGCCCAGCCGCTCCGCGGCATGTGGGATCTTCCCGGACCGGGGCACGAACCCGTGTCCCCTGCATCGGCAGGCAGACTCTCAACCACTGCGCCACCAGGGAATCCCCTTGTTTGCTCTTGATGAGCAGGTTTTTCTCTTTATCATCACCTACCTCACAGCCTTGCCATCGACTAGCACCTAATCATACAAATAACTAATACTTAGGGAACAGTGATGACGTGCTGAGTGCCCTGTGGTCCCATTCACTGAAGCCTCGCCATGGTCCTAGACAGTAATTCTCTGTGTCCCCGTTTTACACACAAGGAAACTCTGGCCAAGAGTTTTCTGACAGTTGCAGAGCTGGGAAACGGTGGCCCTGACATTGGAGCCGGGCCCTCTGGCCCTTAACCTGCCCTTTCAGCACTGAAGGAAGCAATGACCTGAAGATGCTCTGTGAATCCACTTACTGTCGGCAAGAGGACATTTCCACCCAGCAGCCCGACCACTCCACTCAGCCACGTTCAGGCACTTCGGATGCGGCCTTTTCCTGCTGTCCTGGGAAATGTGGAGTTTGATCCTGACCTTGACTCTGGCTGGTCCCAGGCTCAGTAGGAGGCAGGGTGGGGGAGTGGAAAGCGCACGGGCTCTGGCAGGACACAGGCTGGCCTGGAAACCCACCTCCAGCCCTTCCCAGCTGCGCAGCCTTGGATCGGTCCTGGCCCCTCGGGGGTAAAACGGGGCCACCCCCGCTTGACAAGGCACCGGGTACAGGGCGGGAGCATTTCTCACTACATAAACGCTAGTTTAAGAACAGAGATCTTCGAACAAGTTCTGAAATTCCCCTTCACTGATTTCCGGTTAGTCATACCTTGGTCATAATTGACACTTGAACCGGGTGGGACAGGCAGCACCTGTAGGGATGTGGTCTGCCTCCTGCCTCGGGAAAGGCTTCCTGAAACATAGCCGGGCATGGCCAGGTGGCGGCTGTCGGGACACGGGAGTGTTGGCAGGGCTTTCCAGGTCTTACCCTCCCCAAACTCCATCCCTGCCAGTTTGCTTGCTTTGACCTTGGCCCTCACCTAGAACTCCTGCTAAGAGCCATATGTTCCCTGAGTCCCGATGCTATTGGCAGGTGCTGTTCTAAGCACTTTTGTTTTCACAGGTTCATAAGGAATGCGGAAGGCAGGTCTTATTATCATCCCATCCATGTCACATTTAACTGAGATTAAATGAATTCTCCCCGGGAATTCCCTGGCGGTCCAGTGGTTAGGATTCCGCGCTTTCACCAACGAGGGCCGGGGTTCAATCCGTGGTTGGGGGAACTAGGATCCTGCAAGCTGAGCGGTGTGGCCAAAAAAAAAAGTAATTCTTCCAAAGCCAGCCAGTCGGCAAGGAGAGGAACCAAGACTCGAAGCCGGGCAGTCTGATCCGAAAGTCCCCGCCCTTCACCACCGCACCACACCACCCCCGCCCTGCGCCAAGGCAGACAATCCTACAAGGGAAACAACCCCCTTTGTACAAAGTTGATCATTGCAGTGAACCTGGTCTCCTGCAAGGCTGAGTGACGTTAAAGAGCGTGGATGCTTCGTTTCTACCTACACACAAATATTTCTGCATATGAGCAAACATTAGAAAGAAGAGGGGAAGAAACAGAACAATCTGGAATGGAGGTAGGGCCTGGGGGCTTTCCTTTTAGATCTTTCCCCTAATGGAATTGACAAGCTAGCCCTTTGAGTTAATATAGTAAATAAAGGACTGCAGAAGGGTGTTAATCCTTATTTGAAAAATCTCTCTGTCCTCACGTCAAACCTCTCGTGAGTGGGCACATGGGTGGGGAAGTGGGAGGGTGCTCTGAATGGACACCGTGTCTGGGTTGGACACACCCTCCCCAGGATGGGTAGCATCTGCTGGGCCTCCTAAGAGCCCTGGTTATGTTTGTTCCTCATCTTCTCTACACTGAGAGCCTTGCCCCTGACCTCACACTCCCTGCTCTGTGCTCGGAAAGTGCTCACCACATCCTACCATCAGGCAAGCGAATGGCAAACTTGGAGCCGGTCCACCTCTTATTTACCCACCAACTCATCATGTGAGGCTGGGGATGTTGTGGGGGGGGGCGGGAGTCTCTCCAGGCCTCAGTTTCCTCATCCAGAAAACAGGTACAAACAACCAATTTGTCTACTGTGCTCGGGGCACTGAGATTATCAAAAATCCAGAAGACCAGAGCCAGCGTGCTTGAGACTAAGCGCGATCCTCCTGCTGCACAGATGCCCCGACGCACACACGGCACCCGGACTGGGCCGCGGCTTTGCCAAACACTGCTTACCGAGTAGAGTCTCCAGCGGGCCACCAGCTCGTCCTGGGTCCCTGCTTTGGCCGCGGGTTCCAGGTCCTCCTCCGCCAGCCTCTGAAGGCCCTTCCTGAACTCTGCCAGCTCGGCCTCCAGCTGCCTCCTCTGCTGCTCGTAGGCTTCCCTGGACCAGAGCAGGCCCCGCAGCCGCCCCTCCTCCCCCTCCCAGAGTGCACGCAGCTTCTCCAGAACATTCCGCATCTCCTCCAGTTCTCTGGTGATCTTCTCTGCACCCAGAGGGGAGCTGCTCTGGATGACGCCCCCGGCCTGCTCCTCCAGCCTCCGCAAAGACTCCTCGCCCCTGGGAAAGTCGCTGGCGATGTCCTGAAGCAGGGAGGCAGTGGGAAAGAAACCCGAGGGGAAAAAGAAAACACGTGCTGCATTTCCCAGGACCGCTGGGAGCGTCATGCCCAACGGTAATTCCTATTCCCAGGCTAGACCCAAGGCACCTTTCCAAGGGGTGGACTGTCTGCCTTTGTAACATTCAGGATGTGATTCCGTTACCATGTCATTTACAAGCCCTGTGATTAAGTGAAGGGGAGAGTCTCTGCTGGGTACTTCTCTGTCTTTAACACTCTCTGATATTTGTTAATCTTGCTTTTCTAACAGAGACGGAGGCAGCCTCAGGCTCGAAGCCTTCAGCTGGCAAAAGTATGGAGCAAATAGAACCTAACGGCGCCATTTGGCCTCATTACATCTATTTGTATGGTTATCTACCAATTCTGAATGAGTATTGGTATTCCATTTATGACAATGATATAAAATTTCTTTTTAAATCAGTGTTCATTGCCTTCTAATATTAAAAAAAATTTTGGTAAACACTTTTGTCTGTTTTATTTAAAATACCTCCAAAATATTTTTTTCACTTTTTTAGTGAAGTGCAACTTACATGGAGTACAGTACAGACTGTCCTTGACTTAAAATGGTTCGACTTATGATTTTTTTTTATGAGGGTATGAGTGCAATATGCATCCAGTAGAAACTGTACTTTGCATTTTGAATTTTGATCTTTTCCCAGACTAGTGATATGCAACACGATGCTCCCTCGCGATGCTGGGCAGCGGCAGTGAGTGTAACCAACATAGTTTTCACTTTCACTATGGTATTCAATAAATTACATGAGGTATTCAACACTTTATTATAAAACAGCCTTGTGCTAGATGATTTTAGGCTAATGGAAGATGATCTGAGCACGCTTAAGGTGGGCTGGACTAAGCTATGATGTTTGGTAGGTTAGGTGTCTTAAATGCACTTTCGACTTACGATATTTTCAACTTACGATGGGTTTATTGGGACGTAGCCCTACTGTAAGTTGAGAAAATCTATATATAGATCTTAAGTGTTACTGTTCAAAGAGTTTTGAGAAATATATATGCCCATGCAGTCCACACTGTTATCAAAATATAGCATTTCTAACATCCCAGAAGATTCTAGAACTTCATCTATTTGAAATCATAGAATATGTTATTTTTTGAAACTGGCTTCTTTCACTCAGCATAATCTCTTTTAGATTCTTCTATGCTGTCAGGTATACCAGAACTTCATTCCTTTTCATTGACTAATATGTCTTTGTACATATATTCTATTCTATGACGTGTTTATCCAATACTCTGCGGATAAAAATCTGAGTTGTTTTCAGTTTAGGGCTGTTATGCATAAGGTTGCTGTGAACATTCTTTTACAGATACCCACACTTTTCAAAAGTTCAGTTTAGGGCTTCCCTGGTGGCGCAGTGGTTGAGAGTCCGCCTGCCGATGCAGGGGACGCGGGTTCGTGCCCCGGTCCGGGAGGATCCCACGTGCCGCGGAGCAGCTGGGCCCGAGAGCCATGGCCACTGAGCCTGCGCGTCCGGAGCCTGTGCTCCGCAACGGGAGAGGCCACAACAGTGTATATCACTTTGCTTTTACAAAAGACCTACAGTAGTACCTGTTTTCGCTACCTGAAAGAAATCCAAAGAGGATTTTAGCTTTTGCGAGAAAAGGTAATGACTTCTCCGCTTGTTTTCTGTTTGTTTGTTTTTCTTTTTAATTTTGTGGCCGTGCTGCGCGGCATGTGGGATCTTAGTTCCCCAACCAGGGATCGAACCCGCCCCCCCTGCAGAGGCAGCACAGAGCCTTAACCACTGGACCGCCAGGGAAGTCCCACTTCTCTGCTACACACCATTTCGGCTCAAGAACAGTTCCATAGGAACACGACTTTCAGATAGTGGGGAAACTGCACACGTCATACAAGATATTTTGTGGTCACTGTTCATTGGTTTTTTCAAAAGAGAGTCAATTTAAATACGAATATTAAATAAATGGTATAGGTGCTGTAGAGCTGTGTCAAAAATTATAAAGTGGTCCCTGAATTATTGAAGATAATCTACCCACTCACTTTACAGAGGGAGTCGGAAGCTCGTTCAGGATCACAGCAAGTCAGGAAGCCCAGAGTGGACCCAGCTTCTCCTGCAGGTTAGATGCTTACGCCAGGGTTCCTTACCTTCACATACTGACATGTGAGGTCAGATAACGCTTTGCTGTGGGGGGCTGTCCTGTGCACTGTAGGATGTCTAGCAGCATCTCTGGCCTCCATCCACTAGATGCCAGGAGCACCTCCACTCCCAGTTGTGACAACCAAAAATGTCTCCAGACGTGGACAATGTCCCCCATTTGAGCCCAGCTGCTCTAGACCATGCTGCTGTGGCCTTGGGTTTCCAAATGCCCTGCTGGCTCAGAGACTTCCATAAAGCAGCCGAGGCCCCAAGCATGGGATCTACACCACATCCCATGCTTCTCCTCTTGTGGGGTCTGTGTACAGGGATGTTTGCATCTCCTGGGACCTCCCAGCCCCATCCTATTAAATAAACTCTAACAGAGACCAGCCAGCCATGAGCGCTCCCTCCCCACTCTGGCTCCCAGTCCCATCCTATTAAATAAACTCTAACAGAGACCCGCCAGCCATGAGCGCTCCCTCCCCACTCTCGCAGAGACTTGCCGGGGGTTGGTTACCTGCAGCGCCGAGAGACGGTCCTTGGTGCTCAGCCGGCACTTGCGCCCCATGCAGCCGTGCACCCGCTCCACCACCGCCTTCAGCCACAGCTGGAACTCGTCCACGCTCAGCTGGAAATGTTCATGCTCCTGGGTCACCTGCTCCAGCAGGTCCACTCTGTTCTGTGGGAGGGGAGGAGAGTCACCGGCTGTAAAGGTCCCCAGCCCAGGCTGCCCCTCGCCTGGCCTCCCAGGCCTGAATCTGTGTGTGTGGGACACAACTGACCCTCAGCCCTTTCGCTGATCCCGGACATTCTTCTCTACCTCATCAGCAATCAGTCAAGAAATTCTTGGCTTTGGAGACCAAAACATGCCAGCACTGGGCTTGTCAACCACACAGTGGGCTTTTTTTCCTGCCACGTCCTAGGAATGGCACTCAAGATGGGGCCGTGGTAACAACTACATAACACTACCATTTGAGCACTTACCAAGGTGCCGGCGCTGCCCTAAGAACTTTGTGTACAAGATCATCTCACTGAATGCTCCTGACTGCCCCCATAATGTGGTACCATTATTATCCCAGTCTGATAGATGGGGAAACCAAGGCACGGAAAGTGAAATGACTTGCCCAAGGTCACCTGGCTAGGAAAGCACCAAGATTCCAACCTGGGAGGCAAGGCTGGGCCAACGCATCTCTGCTCCATTGCGACTATGTCCATGGGGTACGAGAGTAAACACCCTGAGTGTGGTGATTTGCCTGCATGTGTTGGAATTGCCTCTATTTTCAGACAATTCCACTGAAGCTCTAACCACACAGGGGCAAGATGGTGTCCTAAGGGTGGGTGACATTTGGGGAGATAACAGTGTCCTGCTATAAGACCTACTGTGTGCCTAGAGATTCTGATTTTCAAAACACACCCCTGATTACAGCACCATCTCTTTAAACCCCTCCACTGCTCCCCACTGCCCCCAGGCCCAGGTCCAAGCATTGTAGCCTGGTGGTCAAGGGCAGGACCCCACGATGCGGCTCTGCAGACCAGCGGTCAAGACCCTGGGCTTGGGAGCCCACTGCCTGGGGCTTGACCCTGGCCCCCCTCGAGCTTGTAATTAACCCCTCCGTATGGTGTGGTTGATAACAGTAACTGCCTCATCAGGGTGGCATTAACTGAGTCAGGGCTCGCACAACCCCAGAACAGCACCGGACAGCGAGTAAGAGCTTGAGAACTCTGAGCCATTGTTTATTGTCACCTGTGTCCCTCTGCTCTTGTCACACCCAACCAAGTGAGAGGTGCCCACGTGGCAATGCTCATCTCCAGGCCCCACCTGCTCTGAGGCTTTGCCCACTGCCCCAGGCTGTGGCTCTCCCCCAACCTTGTCTACCGAATTGTCATCTGGTGGGGACCAAGCGCTCCCTAAGGACACGGGGGTTGATTTCATCTCCCTGGTCCCGCTCAGGGCAGGCTCTGAGACTAAGTGCTTCCTGAGTGGCCAGATGTAACTAAGTGTGGGGTGTGTGCCGGGGGAGGGATCTCTCCAAGGAGAGCCAAGAAAAAGGAACCAGGGGACCTTCGTTTAATAAGCACCTACTATGTACCTGGAAATAGACCGGCATTATCGTATTTAATATCTTCACAAGGATCCCAAACTGTCCCATTATGCGAGTATCCAAATGGGTGTCGGGAGGTAACATAACTCTTGCAGACAAGATTTAAACGCCAAGTTCAGACTCCAGAATCACTGCTCAGGCCCAGCGGGTGGCAGAATCTCTCTTTCTCGCAGATGGGAGATATTCTGGGCTTTGCCTGCCGTGTGGTTTCCGCTGCAACTTCTCCACCACTTGTGTGCTACTTACATCGTAGCACCCAAGTTGCAGCCACAGGCAGACACATAAAGAATGGTTGTATTCCAACCAAATGAATCATGGGCACTGACATTTGAATTTCCTATCATTTTCACATGTCATGAAATAGTCTGCTTTTAATTTTCCCCCAACCATTGAAAAATATAAAAACTATTTTTGGTTTACAGGTCATAAAAAAGTCAGGAATTGGGCTGGATTGAACCTATGGGCAGTGGTTTGCTGACCTCAGCTCTCAGCCATGGAGTCAGGCCACGTTCAGGAAGGTCCTGACCTTCTGCGAGGCTAAGCCAACCATTCTCAACTGGGAAGGGTAGACGGACACGTGGATTTGAAAGACCCCCCTGGCTATTTGTGTGTGCCTTCCCCTCCCGTGCAGAAGCCCCTCACCAAACCTAGAAACACCAATTCATTGAAACCTTTGCAACACCCATGGCAAGTAGGGGAAAATATCCCCATTTCAGAGACGGGGAAACCAAGGCACAAGATCAAGTCCTTCAGTGAAGAACTGAGAATCCTCTCACTATGGGAGGGAGGCTCAGCGCTTGACAGATGGGAAACACGGGGCTGCTTGAATTCAGAAAGTGGACCAAGGTTCCCCTGCTGCTCCCCGTCCCCCGCAGGGTTATTTGCATCCACCAGAATCCTCCCCGAGCTTCCTCCATCCGCGAGAAGATTCATTTACGAAACAAAGTGGGTCAAGGTTACTAAGCAGAGAATAGGGGCTGGGCCCCTGGTTGACACTGATGGTGATAAAGGTTGTAGTGCAGCAAACTCTCCAATAAAAGTGCCGGCTGGCGGCTCTGTGTGTGTGAAGAATGAGGTGCTGGCACTGGGGGAGATCCAGAGTAAATAAAAGCCTCTGTGACGGTGAGCAGGCGGCTAGGAGAGGAACGCGGCCGAGCAGGGCAGGCATCCAGCCGCGCTCTGTGCCAGGCATAAAGAGATCACAGAACACAATTCACCACGGGCGGGCAGGGCACGTCGGAGGAATGTGGGTGACAAATGGGAGAGGGTTCCACCTCCTCTCGTTACACCAAATAATCAAACCATCTGTGTGGGCAGAGTTGTCAGGAATGTCAAAACCCAACCAATTAACAAGGGCGGGAGTGGATTTGTGCCTCTGCAAAGGGCTGCAGGAAGGGCTCTGATTCCTGGCCGAGATGCCAAACAAACACAGCCACAGAGGGAAGCAGGGAGGAGGAGGGTGCTACTATCTGCCTGGCCCTTCAGAAAACAATCATTGGATTAAAAACCATCAGGCAAAGTAAACAAGCAGGCCCCGCCCACGGGCAACCAGCCTGCTTTGTCTATTCTCGGCTTTCAGTGGCTTTCTGCTGGCTGTGCCACTGCTAATTCCCGGGCTTGGCCACTTTCCCTGATCAAGAATCTCCCTTCAGGGGGTGGTCACGAAGGATACAGTCCAGAGGTGACCCCCGCTGTGCTTCTGTGGTCCTGTCCCTGTCAACACCAGAGGCCTTGCTAATTAACATATTGGAAGTCAAAACTGGATTTTTAGAGGCGAAAGTAGTGGCTTGTTAACCAGCACAAGAAATGATGAAATGGGCTCTCCTCGGTGAAAGTTGAGATATTAATACATACGGTATCTCCTATGGCCTGAGATGCATCCTCCCCAAATTCACACGATGAAGCCCTAGCCCTCAATGTGATGGTGTTTGGGGGCAGGGCCTTTGGGAGGTGATTAGGGTTATATGAGGTCATGAGGGTGGGGCCCTCAGGATGGGATGAGTGCCCCTATAAGAACAGACACCAGAGAGCTTGCTGACCCTCCCTCTCCAGCGTGTGAAGACACAGCAAGAAGGTTACCATCTTCAAGCCAAGAAGAGGCCCCTCACCAGGAACCAAATCTGCTGACACATAGAGTTCGAACTTCCCAGCCTCCAGAACTGTGAGAAACAAATTCCTGTTTTTTAAGCCACCAAGTCTATGGTATTCTGTTCTGTCCACCCGAGCAGACTAAGACAGTATCCCAGGGACGTTTCCCACCCTTTGAATAGGCCGGGACCTGCGTGGCTCTCCTGCTCTCACTGAGGTGGGAGGATTTCAGTTGCCTGCCTCAGGGTGGCTTTCTCGTCTGACTTTAGTGCAAGGTGAGACCTTCAATCAAATGTACAGAGCAGGTAACCAGGAGGCATCCGGGCTACCAAGAATCTCTGAGGACTACTGGACATGCAGTGTCCCTCAACCTGCTTAGGGTGGAGCCAGAGTGTCTTCCTTTCGTCTGGGGCTGGAAGGCCCAGTATGGGGTATGCCCTGGGAGGCTGACGCTGGGGAAGCTATATCCTATTTTACTGAAGAGGACCCTTGCTAAGGGTGATATAACAGTTTGCCCCTCTCAGTAGCTCCTGTCTTCTGAAGGTCATGGCATCATCTGGAAGCTATGACTGTTCTCACCAACAAAATGCACATGCACATGACAGTTTGAGTATAACTTCAGAGAGGCTCTGTAGGGGCCTGCCCTGGCCTCTCCCTCATACCGCCTTTCAATCTTCTACTGCCGGCTCTGGGAGAGACAAGAAACAGCTCCCCATTCACCACCCCTACCCCCAACCCCATCCCGAGAGCTAACCGGGCTCCCTGTGAGTTAGAACACAGCTCCCAAACCTCTGGCAGCCAGGAGCAGAAAACCAAGGGTCTGTGAGCTTCAGCCAACAGCTCAAAAGGCCAAACTGAACGGCCTTCTCTCATAGGGTCCAGTCACCCTGCACACCCCCCAGTTTCCACACTGAGGTCAAAATTCACCAGCCCGTCTGGCAACTCGGAGGGCTTCTGCCAGGGCGGCAGCTTCCCCCCACCTCTTCATCATAGGCAGAGCCCCCAGGCTCCTGCCCCCAGGATGCTGCCAGCTGGGCTCCGCCTCGGGAAAACCCTTGGAAACAACCTGCTCCCTCATCCAGGGGCTCGAAACCTCCCATGTACCACTGCGTCCACTTTCTGAGCTGGACCCACAGGAGCTCTGGCGGCCCCTGATCTCCCCTGATGGACACAGGTGCAGCGACTCACCCAGGACCCGGGGCAACCACCAAAGGAGGACCCCACATAGGGAGTCGCCTAGGACTTCCGGTTCTTTCTGATGGGCCAGGGGTATCTGACCCTTAGATTATTATTATTTTTTTAATTAAAGTATAGTTGATTTACAATGTTGTGTTAATTTCTTCTGTATACAGCAGAGTGATTCAGTCATATAGATATATACGTTCTTTTTCGTATTCTTTTCCATTGAGGTTTATCACAGGATACTGAATATAGTTCCCTGTGCTATACTGTAGGACCTTGTTGTTTATCTGTAGATTATTTTTTAAGTCAAAATTTAAAAAAAGGGCCCAGTCACACCTTCTCTACTTACCACATAAGAAGGTTGAGAGGCTCAAATGAGGTCAAAGCCATGAAGGGACTAGGAAAAGATAGCATTCGCCAGTAAGAGTTGTGATTTCTATGAATTTTTGGATCCAGTGAGGGGAGGGTTCCCTGGAGGGACGATGAGAATCTCTGAGGTGATCATTTCTTAGAATTGGTGCTCACCGGTGCCCCAGGCATGCCCCTTCCACACACATGCGTGTACACTTACACACACACACACACAAAACCACTTTCCATTTCCTGCACGAGGCGCTCTCTGCTGATTGGCACAAGCACCTGTTTCTTGTAAAGTCTCAGCAGCAAGGAGGCCATGGGCCAGGCACCTCCCCTGCCTGAGCCCGTGGGGCAGACCTGGAGAGAGAATTGCTGTTAAGCAGGCTCTAGACACTTGGATGCCGTGAGGGAGGACCAGCTGGCTACAGCTCTGAGAGCCAAGCTCCACCCCGCCTGCCTGCCTGTCCTCCGAGCCTCCCAGCTGCAGGGGCGGGGTTCTCATTCATTCAATGAAGGGCTCCGAGCACCTGATACGTGGCAGACACCATTGTTGTCGCTATTTCTTCTCACTGCTACGGAGAGCACAAGTCATCCTTTATTCTGGGAAAATGCCAATTTCAAAGAGCTCACATGCAAACTCATTCAGTCCTACACCCTGGCTCCAGGTAGGGTGAGCACCCCGAGGCCACACAGCTGGGAAGCAGCAGAGCCTGGCTGGAACCCAGGTCCCTTTCCAAGCATTCTGGGGCCAGCGTCCTATTCCTACTCAAGGTTTCTCAGATCTCTGCTTATTATAGAACCATTTCCCATAACTTGAAGGACCCAGGAGACTTCCACCTCCAGCAACATGGGAGAGCTGAATACCCTTCCACCGTAGCCAGCCAGAAATGCTGGATAAAATGTAACACGCATCATTTAAATGCAGAACCACGCACACACCGCACACACCAAGGTAAGAGATATCCCGTGGACCAGATGCAAGGATGCTATGGAAACCAGGATGCTAAACCCACATGTGCGCTTGACATCTTCTTGGGTTTAATGCTCAGGTTGGAGGAGGAGGTAAGACTCTGGGCCCAGGGGGGCAGAGACCACGGCAAAAAGGCAGAATACTCAGGGGACTCCCCCTCTGTCAAAGGGTGAACTAGAGAAAAAAACCCCTTCCCACCAGCGCAATACAAGACAGAAGCATATGTGTTTCAGCCTGGGGTCTGGCTGAAAAGACAAATGAAAAGATAGTCACCTTTCAGAGTATGGAGCCAGGAGCCTCTTGCATCATTTTGGCTTAGGGTTCAAGTGCAGAGAACCCACTTGATCTAGGAACCCCCAAAACATTTCAGTGACCCTCAATAGGAACCCTGAAGGGAAATTCCCATGGTAGCCTGGCTGAAGAAAACACAAGCTCTCTGAGGGCCAGGCCCAGCCACGGGGTTCTGCAGATAAGGCCCCAAATAGGATGAGCTCACAGCTCAGAATTACGAAGTCTCCAAGGAAATGATCCACCATGTCAGGAGACCCAACAGACGGCAGTATCAGGCCAGGAACTTCAGCTACTAGAGCAGCCTGACGATTATAAAATGTGCATGATTAAAATGACTACAGATAGAATCCGTACCTGAGAGGAGTGCCAAGTTTAAGAGAAAAAAGGACAATGAAAAAAAAGAGGGGCTTCCCTGGTGGCGCAGTGGTTAAGAATCCGTCTGCCAACGCAGGGGACACGGGTTCGAGCCCTGGTCCGGGAAGATCCCACGTGCAACTAAGCCTGTGCACTGCAACTACTGAGCCTGCGCTCTAGAGCCCGTGAGCCACAGCTACTGAGCCCGCATGCTGCAACTACTGAAGCCCGCGCGTCTAGAGCCCGTGCTCTGCAACAAGAGAAGCCACTGCGATGAGAAGCCCACACACCGTAATGAAGAGTAGCCCTCGCTCACCGCAACTAGAGAAAGCCTGCGTGTAGCAACGAAGACACAATGCACTAAAAAATAAATAAATAAAATAAGTAAATTTAAAAAAAAAAAAAAGAAGAAAGAAAGAAAAAAAATGAATGACGGATATAATACAAAACCAAATAGAATTTCTTGAAACAAAATTGAACTTAATAACTCAATGGACTGTTTAAACCAAGGCAAGAATGAGGTGAGAGACGGGGACAAAGAATGGGCAGAGGAATTGGGGGAAGGACAAAAGAGAGCAGAGGAGGAAAGCAAAGGAGAAGGACTAAAGGGCAGGAGGAGGGAGGGAAGGAAGGAAAGAGGGAGGGAGAGGGGAGGGGAGCTGGGTGGAAGTGAACCTCAAAGTCCATCAGTCAGTCAGTCAACATACACTTACTAAGTACCCACATGTGTATTAAGCACGAGCAACGCTGGCCATACAGATAGTAGATAATGTGTCAATGGGTGGATGGATGGTGGAGGGGTGGGTGAATGGGTAGGTGGAAGATTGACAGGTAGGTAGTTATATAATGCTTGGGTGAGTGGATAAGGGATGGGTGACAAGTAGATAGTGAGTAGGTAAGTGGGTGAAGGGGTAAACGGTGGGTAGTAGAGAGTGGAGAGATGGATGAGTACATGGGTATGTGAAGAGTACATAGGTGGGTTGATGAGTAGGTGAATGAATAGATGGGTGGGTGATTAAGTGGCTGGAGAGAGGAATAGGAGATCTAGTTAGGTTAGTGGAGAGGTAGATGGGTGAGTGAGTAAACAGATGGACAGGAGGGTGGGGAGATGGATGGGTGGATGGGTAGGTAAGTGGATGGAGTGGTGAGTGGGTAGATAGTGAGTAAGGGATTTAGTAGTTAGTTTAGAGGGGAGATAGATGGGTGAGTGGGTAGACAGTTGGATAGGAGGGTGGGGAGATGGGTGGATGGATGGGTAGGTAAGTGGATGGAGGGGTGAGTGGGTAGATAGTAAATAAGGGATTTAGTAGTTAGTTTAGAGGGGAGGTAGATGGGTGAGTGGGTAGACAGCTGGATAGGAGGGTGGGGAGATGGGTGGGTGGTGGTGGGTGAGTGGTGTCGGGTGGGTGGATAGTAGATGGTGGGTAGATGGATGGATGGATAGATGGTGAGGGAGCAAACGAGTGGCTGGACGGGTAGATGGGAGCAGGTGACGGATGAAGGGTGAAGACAGCCCGCTGCCCGCACCCACCTGGGCTTTGGTCTTCACCGCGTCGTACTCGGCTTTCAGCTTCTTCTGCGCGGCTTCGTCCACGCTGGGGTCCCCGATCCTGTTGAACAGGGAGGCCGCCTCCTCCAGCAGCCGGTCCAGGAGCGTGGCCTGATTGTCCACGTTCTGAAGCAGCACCTGGGCGTGGCTCAGCTGCCAGCGCTTCTCCTTCAGGCCCAGCTGCAGCTCCACGGGGGGCTCGAGCACCACCGTCATCTTCTGGAACCAGCGGTAGAACTCATCCCGGGCCAGCAGGTACTCGCTCCAGTGCAGCCACACCCACTCAATACGGCTGTAGGCAGAGGCCACGGCCATGAGCATCCCCCCACCAGGCTCATGGGCGGGGAGGCCGTGCTGCTGCCCCCTCCCCAGTACTGGGGGGCTGCGGGAGGGGGCACAAGGACACCCTCTCAGGCCTCACCCCAGTCCTGATAGACAAGACCCTCCCGTCTGGGAGACAAGCTCCATGGGGCTAATGATCAGGGTGGCTCAGATTCCAGACCTGCTCTGAGAACCCCCAGCCTGCTGATGCCCTGAGCCACCAGGACCCCCAATTCCTATTAGTGATGCACGACGATGCCCACAGTTGTTTCTCTCTGGTGTTGGGACTCCACACACAGTCACCCTGGCTCTTACCACATGGGTGCCCACTAGCAGTCACGAGAAGACTGCCACGGGGAGTGTGTCTCTTAATTTGCGGAGTACAATAGGATCTGTGGGCTCGTCACCGCTCAGCGGGGACAGAGGGCTGGGGCCTGTGCACGGGTCCCAGGCGTGCCATGAACTCGCTGCATTACCCCGCCTCTGCACCCGCCTCAGTTTCCCCGTCTGTAACGTGGAGATGGCCCTATCGGTCCAGCCAACATCAAGCTATTCGTTTGGAATTCCAAGTGAAAGAGTTTGAAAAGCAGAAAACACTGAGTAAAGTCCCCCCGGTCCACTCAACATTCTGGTTTCATAAAGACGGAGAAGATGCTGGCAGCTCCTGCCCACTGAGGACCTCCTGTGTGCCAAGCGCTGTGCCTGGCTCTCGACATTTGCTATCCCCCGCCATCCTCCTAAAAACCTTCAAGAAACACTTGACTATACCCATTGTCCAGATGAGGCGCCTGAGGCTCAGGGGTCAAGTAACTTTCCCAAGGCCACACAGCAAGTAACCAGCAGAGCAAGAGGCGATCCCAGGTCAGGCAAAGCCCCCGCCCCTGACCTGGCTCCCCGGTACAAGCAGAGAATCTGGGCTAAAGCGCTAGCAAGGCAACAGGCCTTCTTACCCGCCGGGGCCATTTGGCCTTTCTGCTGGAGGATGCACACGCGGCAAGTCTACCAAGAATTAATTGTTGGCAAAACACGATGGGCTCCCACTGTCTATTACCCTCATTAAGCTTGATTATAATTAGAAAGAGGCAGGCAGGGTTGACTGACATCCCAAGAGAGCATCCTGTTCCCACTAATCCCAGGACCGAAGAAATGTCCCTTGGGCAGCGGCCCCAGGCCAGCGTGGTGGTGGGCACGGAGGGTCGGCAGCAGCCGCAGACAAAGGCCTGGAAAGGTACCCAGCCACCCTACCTGTGACAGTGGGTCATGTAGGTGACCGTCTCCTCCCACTGCGCTTTGACGTCCCTCAGCCGGGCCAGGATCTCGGGCTTCTGGTCCTCATGGCAGCATGCCAGGAGGGCTTCGGCCGCCCGCAGCACCATGTCCACCTTCACGCGGCCCTCTGGCTCTAGCTGGCATATTTTCTGTTGTGGACACAAAGCCAGTTCCCAGGAGTTAGACAACACGCCAACAGGCAGAGCCTTGGGAAGACAGTGGCAAGACATGGAAAGAGGCAGGACTTTGAGACCAGAGGAGCTGGGGTTCGAATCGCAGCCCCTGCCCCTCCTCCTGTGACCTTGGGCAGGCTGCTAAGGGCTCTGGGGTGGGAGCGAGCGGCGATGGAGATTAATCAGCACAGAACCGCCCAGAGCTGTCTGATGATAGGAGTGCCCTCCCTTCCCCGATGGGCCTGTTTCCAGCTGCGTGAACCCAGAAAAATTTCATTACTTCCCTGGCCTTGGTTTTCTTGTCTGTAAAGTGGGTGTATAGTAGTACTCAGCTCTCAGATTTTTTTTTTTTTTTTCCAGAATTAACTGAGAAAATGCATGTCCCAGTGTGTGGCACCATGAGAATCTGCCTCTCAGGCCCACTGCAGGGAGTGGGCTTGGCCCAGGTCCCCAGCCGAGGCTCGGAATTATCTCTGAGTTTGCCGTTGGCACCAAGGCCTCGCTCCCTCAGCTGTTCCCACCAGTGACCAAACAGGAACACAAAGGCAGGCCCGTTACTACAGGACACTGGGCTCCTCTGATGGGTGACTGATTCGGGACACCCCACGGCCTTGCCAAATTCCCTGAGAACCACCTGGCAGCCCAAGATTCTCCCTGCTCTCCCGGACTCAGGGCCGGACCTGCATTGGACTGACCGTGTCCCTCCCAGCCACCCCGGGTTCCCGTCCCATTTTCTCTCACAGATGGTTCCCTATTAAATGTCTTGCATATCTAACCTCACCTTGGCCTTGGCTTCTTGGAGGACCAAGGCTGATACGCAACGCCTGGCAAATAGTAGGTTATCTGGTAACATTAGCTGTTGTCATTATTCACTGTTATTATTCTAGTTCTTTGGCAACCAAAGCTTGGTCTCTGCAGTCAAAATAAGATTAGACTCCAATTCCAGGGCTGGTCTCCACTACCTGTGTGACCTTTGTCATGGTACTTAAACTCTCCAGGCCTATGAAATGGGGGAAGATAATGGTTAACGCCACCCAAGGTTATAGTGACATTGCGAGATACACTAGCACATGGCCTGGCCCACACTGCATCTCCCATCACTCCAAAATTGTTCACCGTTACCGCTATCTTTTGCTTACCTTCTGATTTTATTTACTGACAGCATCAGCGTTTGCCTAAAGCTCCAGCTGTTCCCCAGCCTGTCTCCCTAAGGCTGGCAGTCAGTTTTCTTAGACTGATGGCCCAGTGGGCTGGCCGTCTGAGCCTTCGCTGTGGGTGGGGTCGGGGAGGGGCTCCTGCCGTGTCCAGGGCTGCCCCACTGACAACTCTGTGGTCCCAGGCAGGTCACTCCGTCACTCAGAGATGGTGATAACAATCTCTGCTTTGTCTATCTCATAGAATTATAATATTACTTTTCAAAAACACTATTAATTAGAACATAGATATGTTAGTGGACTTTATAAACCACTGAGCGGTTATGCAGACCCTCCCCCCACACGTGCAAACGGGCAATGGTCCCAGTCCTTTTTTGTTACCTCGTATGACAGTGGTTAACGATGATGATGACATCGATGATCGTATAGAGCAGCGGTCCCCAAGCTTTTGGGCACCAGGGACCAGTTTCGTGGAAGACAGTTTTTCCACGGGTGGTGGCAGGGTGGGAGGTGCTTCAGGTCGTCATGTGGGCAACGGGGAGAAGCAGATGAAGCTTCGCTCGTGTGCCTGCTATGCAGCCAGTTTCCTAACAGGCCACAGACGGGTACCGGTCCCCGGCCCAGGGCTTGGGGACCCCTGGTAGAGAGGGACTTCCCTGCCTATGCGTATTATCAAAGAGTGAGGTTAGAGAACCTCCTTACAAGGGCTGTCTCTGTGCTCTGAGTGGGGTGTAGAGAGGTAGCGTGAAGAGCAGGGAGGTTCCCGCAGAGAGGAAAAGAGCTTTGGTTTGGGGCTTAGGGCTGGGCCCAGCAGCAGGATTTGCTGGACCGTAGCAGGTGACGGGGACAGCAGGCGCCCAGCAGGGACCCCAAGTCCCGCTCAGCAGTGGGCAGCAAAGTGGCGGACAAAGGCACCACAGTGACGAGTGTGGACCAAAGACCCAGGGCCGCCGTGGAATGTTCTGGGCTGAGTAAGATTACCCACCCCCTGAACAGAACATTTCGCACCTCTCAGAAGAAGGGGTCCCCCAGCATGGCTGAGGATGAATTTCTTGCCATCCAGTGAGATTTAATTTGATTAGAACTAATAATAACAGGGCTTCCCTGATGGCGCAGTGGTTGGGAGTCCGCCTGCCGATGCAGGGGACACGGGTTCGTGGCCCGGTCCGGGAAGATCCCACATGCCGCGGAGCGGCTGGGCCCATGAGCCATGGCCGCTGAGCATGCGCGTCCGGAGCCTGTGCTCCGCAGCGGGAGAGGCCATGATAGTGAGAGGCCCACGTACCGCAAAAAAAAAAAAAAAAAAGAAATAATAATAATTCAGGATCTGATGTCTCTGACACCCAGAGTTGTGGCATAGACCCCATGCCCAATCCCCAAGCTGGCAAGATGGGCACCAGGGTGATTCCAGTTTTACCAGTAGGGGCACCGGGGACCCACAGAAACCTTAGCTTTGCAGAACAATTCTCTGCAGCAGTTAGCGAGGCCTCCTCTACAGGGGCTGCCCAACTTAACCTCAGTCGGAATCCAGCCCCGTGAATGAAGGGAGACAGCAGCTTGGGGAAGAAACTAAATTCAGTCTCTCTCTGCCACACTCACAAGGAACCAGTCCAGGGTCCTGATGGTGTGACCTCCTCTAGGCCTCTGGACCTTTGCCCTCCTGACTCCTGGCCAGGGAGGCGCAGGCTGGACCAGAGGAACATGGGAGATGGGCGGACCCACCGCTCTTTGCAGGGGAGTGAGCCTGTTGCTTCCCTGCAAAGAGAGAAGAGCTGGCCAGTCCCAAAGGCCGGCAGAACATGAGCCCCACCTGGCCTGAAGCAGAAACCCCTGCCCCCAAACCAAAACACTGACCAGAGGTTATGTCTGCTGTGGGACCAGAGGCATGTCTGCTGTGGGACCAGAGGCTAGAGCTGAGCTGGCAAAGCCAACCTTCGAGAAGCAGATTCCACCCTCCTTCTCTGCCCTGATGATTCCGCTCTTTGGCTCGTGTGTGGTTCCTCTACAGCCCCACCCCAGCAAGGACACAGTCCAGGAGTGCCTGGCAAGGGACACGAGCCAGCTGGGAAGGGGGTCACTGAACTGTAGCCACAAAGCAATTCTGATTCGAGGGAGCCAGTGAGGGCAAAAGTCAGGCGGGGTTTGGGTGGAGGGAAAACCTCAGCAGGGAGGAGAAGCAGTTCAGGAAGGCTGGAGGAATGTGGTGAGTCAGGGCTTTCCCTCAACGTAGTCACGGCCAGATGGGCGCTGTCCTGGGTAATATGCTGAGTACTGTGCTGGGTACTAGAGTCCAGGAGGAAAACAAACATGGCCCGATGCTTGCAGGCTTACGTAAGGGGGTCTGCAGACAAGGGCACAGATGACTGTGAAAGAGCCGTGAGAGACCCCAAACTTGGAGCTCTGAGGAGGGATGTGGGCAACCAGGAAGGCCTCATGAGGAGGTGGGGTGGCACCAGGCCTCAGCGCTGAGCAGACATTTGAGCCAGCAAAGCTAGGAAAACACGGCGTGTTCAGGGCATCCGGCTTTTGGAAGCCAAGTCCTAGGAAATGTGGCACGTCTCTGACCATCAAGAGGCTTGGAAACCAGTAAGGAAACAGCCTGGCCTAGACCCCAAGCGCAGAGCCGCGGAGGGCAAAGAGACGAGATGCTGCGACCTGGGAGACCAGCCGCTGCGGGCACCGGCGTGGGCTGGGAGAGTCCACAGGCTGGTGTCCCTGCATCGAAGCCACGAGAAACAACCTTCTCCACTGGCTCTGCCAGCGTGCCCTGCACTTTGCCAAGTGCGCCAGTAAGTCATTGGCCTCAATCTTCCCACCCTCCTGCAAGGTGGCAACTAGCACTTTCCCCAGGAACGAAGCTCAGAAGGCACTGGAAATTCTCCCCAGGTGCCACAGCCGGAGCGGGGATTCGAACCCAGGCCTGCAGGCCCCAGACCCCAGCTCTCCCCCTCCCCCAGGCTCCTCCCTCCCCTCCCCCTGGACCCCATCCTGGCTAACTCCTCATTCAAGCCTCAGCAGTGAAGTCACTTGTCCCCAGAGGCCTTCTCTCAGTGACCGGTCCCTGCCAGGGGTTCTTCCTGCACTTCACAGCTGGGAAAATGAGGTGGCAGGAGGGCATGGGACCCGCTCCTGGCCACACAGCTACTAAGCTCCAGAGTTGGATCAGAACTCATATCCTGGTCGCTCCAGCCAACAGGCGCTTGGGACGTGCGTCACTGAGCTGGTGGAGGGATCAGAGACCCCAGCCCCAGGGGAGGTCCCACGGGCCAGCAGGTGGAGAAGGCTCTAGCTGCTCCCTTTCACCAGAGGACAAGGGTGAAATGTTTTCTTATTGCAAAACTGGTTTTGAAACATCAAAGCACACAGAAAACAAGCGGGTCTGAGCCCCGTAGGAGAGCACGGTCGTGGGGCACCCAGGACACGGCTCCCTTGACCTAGGCTCCAGGCCAAATCCCTGAGAGCTCACCTGATGGAAGTGCTCCCTCGGCTTCCAGAACCCGGTCACCTTGGCCTTGCCAACAGCTCTTCCTAAGGGCCGCCCTTGCCTTTGCCTAACGAAGCCAGACCCACCACCAGGGGGTAATGAGCTGTCAGCAAATGGTGCAAGGTCCAAGGGATTAGCACGCTAAGACAGCAAGTGCTGTGCAGGGCTGCCAGGAGCTGGGGCTGGGGCTGGCGGAAGGGGTTAGGAAAGACACGTGGGCGAGGGGACGTTTCATTTCACATGCACACCCACACCCGAACGAACGGGCGTTCCAACTAGAGGCAACAGCACACACAAAGGTTTGGTGATAGGAAATCTAGGAGGTTTTCCGCCAGCGGGAGAGGATGTGTGCCTGGGAGGTCGGCTGGAGGGGGAAGCTGAGGCTGGAGAAGAGGGTTGTGGCAGATAAGTAGTGGAGGACGTTTGATGCCAAGTGAAGCTGGGTTTTCTCTCACAGGCAATGGGGAGCCATAGAAGGTTTTAGAGGAGGAGAATAACTTCACAAGACCCATGTTAGGGATGCACCTCGTACATACTTGTGCGACTGCAGGATTAGGTGTGTGCCTGTCCCCGTGATGCCATGAACCCGAGCGTAGGGTGCGCCTCACCCCTTCCACCGCCCCAGGACCCCACACGGGGACAGTCAGTGATGCTCTGGACTCAGCCCTGGGTTCAAGCCCTAACAAGATCCATTCCTTCCATTCTGGCCCATCTCTGTGTCTAGGGATCCATTTCACTATTGAAAAGTGGGGACAATACACCACGATCACAGGGCTTTGGGGAAACTAGACATGAAAGCTGATAGTACAGGCTTGAGCACACAATAGTTGCTGAATGAACGTCAGCTCCCTTCTCTCAGTGACCAGGCAGAGTCATCTTTTGATAACGAATATTGGTGACAATAATAATGATGATGATGACAGAGGCCAAGACTGACAAGAGAAGGGGCTTTGGCTGTCAACTCCTCTCCTCACCAGGCTTGCCCCTGACCTTCCAAATCTCCAACCCATCACCCGCTCTGTTACAGAGGAGGGGTCCTCCTTGGCTCCCTGTTCCAGGCTCTGGAACCACTGACCCCTCCCCACCTCTCTGGCCCTGACCCCTGCTTCTCCTTGTTGGTTGATGCTGTCCCAACACCAACATCGGGGGTGTCCCACATGTGCCCCCAGCTGTGCCCACCTCCAGGGATTTTCCTATGTTCGCTCTGCCTGGAGTCCCTTCCCTCCCCTCCCCCTGGATCCCCGAGTCTGACTAACTCCTCATTCAAGCCTCAGCAGTAAAGACCCTTGTCCCCAGAGGCCTCTCTTGACCCTCTAGACTGGGGGACGTGACCTCCTCGGGGCTCCCCGTGTACCCTGGGTTCTCCACTCACTTCACCGTCCAGTTGAGAAGCCTCTGACCGGGCCACTCAAGAGTGGTCACCCCTCCTTTCTGCCGTGACGGTCCCCTGGGCAGGGCTCTCATCAGCTGCATCAAGTATCTGTTCATGGTTGCTATAAAAGGACAAGTGGTCCAGGGTGGTGCGTGCTAGGATGGTGGCGCACCAAGAGGGAGGCTGAGCAGGGATGGGGGGCCTTTCCCACTGGGACAAGCGGGAGTCTCTGTGCCTACCTGGGAGGAGTTCCCTGAGGGCAGGGACCAGGCACCATCACCTGGCATCCCAAGGGTTCGAGGCCTGGCACAGGGGAGGCTGACGGAAATCGTGACTCAAAGTGGAGGGTCTCAGATCCTCTGGGGTCCGACCAATGAAGGACTGGGAAGGACTAATCTGAGGGCAACTGGGATGACAGGAAATGCCAGAAGACACTGGAGGGGACTGGGGGTGGGGGAGGGGGAATAGAGAGGGTGCCACTGTCACTGTCAACTCAGGTCATTTGCATCCAGCCTCACAGGTAGCACAGGGCTTTCTCTATGTTAACATCCATCAGCAACACACGCCTCCTCAAGGCAGTTTGTGACCCACCCTCTCGAAGTCAGCATCCTGACACAATGAGCTTCACCCATTCTAGAAGGGAAGTGAAGAGAGGTCCAGCGGGGTCACAGGGCCAGCAGGAAGCAGAGCTGGGATTTGAACCCAGGACTTCCAGACTCCAAAGCCTGTCCTCTCTCTAGTCCAGTAAGCTGTTCTACTGAACAGAATGCCTGAGAAACCACAACACCCTGCACCCTGACGCTGGCAGAAACACACGATGCTGTAAGGCAGCAGAAAGCAAATTTGAAAAGGAGTCAGAAGACCAGAATTCCAGGGTGGAGTGTCCTCCCCAGAGGCCTTTGCAACTTGAACAAGTCACCAGACCGCTCCAAGACCCAGTTTCCCCACTTTTAAAATGCAAACCCTGGGTCCTTCTTCATACTGTGTGGTGACACTTAAGCCGTTGGCCCTGAAAAGGTGATATCGATTCTTAATTTTAACTGTCCACTTCCAAAAAGAGCATTAGATATTTTCAATAAAATGTGCAAAATCAATAAGACAGCTCAAAAAAAAAAAAAAAGGAGAAAGAAAGAAAAGACAAGACACAGGGACGTGGGTGTGGGGTCAGCTCTGTTTCTAGCCTGTTGGGGGGTCAGTTTGTGCAGGAAGAGGTAAGCCTCCCCTTAAATAAAGCAACCATTGTTAGGTGATAAATTAGAATTGTGGCATATCCCAATGGATATGACCTGAGAGACGTTAAGTCAACTGCTTTACTTACAGATGGGAAACTGAGGCCCAGAGAGGGACAGGGATGTGGCGGAGGTCACACAGCACTTTAGATCAGCATGGAGACTGCAACCCAGGTCTCTGACTCTTAGTCTAGAGTTCTTCCCCCGGCCCCTGGCCCAGAGCAGATGACCTCAGGTGGGGGGCACCACAGTGCTGGGCCAGGCACTGGGCATCGGCACTTCCGGTCAGGGTAGCACTGAGCCTCTGCCTTGTGCCAGGTCAGGGTAGAGCTGGACTATAAGAGCCAAGGGAGGGGCCTCAGCTGCAGAGAAGCAGAGAAGAGGCAGGAAGCAGGGCCTGGGCCACCTTGGGGTGGAGACCATTCCGCTGCACGGTGCCCCCTTCCAGGATGGGAGAGTCAGACCCTTACAATGAAAGTGTGATCCTAGGACCCCCAGCAAAGGTGTCACCGAGAGCACGTCAGAAATGTCACATCTCGGGTCCACCCCCAGCTCCTGGATCACAATCTGCACTTAAACCCCAGGAGATTCAAAGACATCAGATTTTGAGAAACACCCGTCTAGTCCGCTCTGCTACGCAACAGCTGGGAAACCTGAGGCCTGAGAGGGAGGGACCGGGCCAAGGCCACAGGGTTATCAAGGCCATGGTCTCTGCATACCTCGGTCTCCCGCAGCCTGGCCTCCAGGGCTGCGCGGGGCCCCTGGGTGTTGTCATTGATCTGCAGCCGCTCCTGCACAGCCTTCATCCACTCCTGGGCGTCCCCCATGCTCCTGGCGAAGCCCTCCTGCGGTTGCTGAGTCATGGCACCTGCAGGGGCTGAAGACAGGACCACACGAGGTCAGGCGCACAGGTGAGGAGGGCGGGGGGAAGGCGAGCTGTGGAGAGGCCCCAGCCAGCTGATGGCGGCGAGGGTCGGGGAGCCTGACGCTGGGAATGGGGCTCGCCCTCCACCCCCAGCACCCCTCCTGATGCTCCAGCTTCGGTGCCAACAGCCAGAGGCGATCGTGTTTGTCAGAGAGCCAAAGGACTGGAAATGGGCCGAGAAGGGAAACAGGTCTGGCCTCTCCGGGGGCTGGGCAGGGACAGCGGGCCCAGGGTGCCCGGTTGGCAAAGACTCCCTTTGTCTCAGATTCCCTGCTCCCCTCTGACGCTAGCTTGGCACTCAGGGCCAACTGTCTCCTGTCTTTTTGGCTGGAAACCCCTCCAGAAGTGGATCCTAAAACACACACAGGCTGAGATGTCTGTGACAGACACTGAATCTTGATCTGAATGGATCAAAAAGCCTCAACCTAAGAAACACAGTTTTGGGGCATTGGCCAGGCTGACGCCAGCCCCTGAATCTCACCTGAAATTAATATCTCAGGTTGGGGGATGGCCCGGTGAGCCAGGTGTCTCGTGGCTACTTCTCCACCAAACCTGGGTCCCTGGCAGATGCTGCTAAGTGTTTCCACTGAGCTACGCACCACCTACCTCTTGGCAGCCACTAACAATCAACTGACCTAGCATCTGAGCTGAGACCCACTGCCTTCGGGGATGCCCGTTTCCTGGCATAGGTCTCCCAGCTAAACCAACCGCTTTGCTATCCCGTCCCCTCCTCTCTTTCCCTTACCTTCTAGCTGCGGATACAAGGTCTCAGATTTTCTCACGTAACTTTCTTAAAATCCCATTAAGCCCAGGAAAAACTCTTCTGTATTTCAGTTCTAGTTGTCTGCTTACGGCAACTATAACCGACTTTGGATTAAAGTTATTTATATCTGCATCTTAGGTGAAAGGATTGTGTCTAGTTTATCCTCCAATCTCCCACAATGCCTAGCACAGAGTAAACCCTCTGCCGATGCTGAAATAGCCCAGCGTTGGCATAAAGCGTCATGCACCCAAAACCAACCACAGCATTTGTTAAAAAGGCAAAACAAAACAAAACTAGGAACAACCCAAATGCCCAACAATAGGAAATTAGTTAAGGAAAGTATCACACACTTGCACTTCAGAATATTATGCAGCCGGGCTTCCCTGGTGGCGCAGCGGTTGAGAGTCCGCCTGCCGATGCAGGGGCCACGGGTTCGTGCCGCGGTCCAGGAGGATCCCACGTGCCGTGGAGCAGCTGGGCCTGTGAGCCATGGCTGCTGAGCCTGCGCGTCCGGAGCCTGTGCTCCGCAGCGGGAGAGGCCACGACAGTGAGAGGCCCGCGTAACGCAAAAAAAAAAAAAAGAATATTATGCAGCCAATAAAAAGTAGGATTGAAATGAATTTGTGATGGAGAATACTTGGGCTCTAATGATAATATCAAAAAATGCAACAAAATTTATACTTAATAGCCCCAGTTCTACAGCTAATAAAAACAAAACAAAACAACCACAAAAAAAACATGCTCCTAGAAAAAGACTGGGAAATCTCGCCATTACGATGCCCATGTAGGGACTTCCCTGGCGGTCCAGTGGTTAGGACTCCGCGCTTCCATTGCAGGGGGCATGGGTTTGATCCCTGGTCATGGAACTAAGATCCCGCAAGCCACGTGAAGTGGTCCAAACAAACAAACAAAAGCCAATGCCCATGTGATGAAGCGGAGAGAGGGGTGTGGGCAAGTGGCTGAAAGCATCCCACGTGACCTCGGGCCTCTCTTTTCCTGGCACGGTGTCTTCGGAGGCCACGTGGCTAAGGACCATTGTCTGGTTGGTGGAATCACAGTTGGAAGTTCTTCTGTTTCCCTATTTTTCCTCTTAGGCACTTTGTGAATTTTCCAGAAAGGGCAACTGTTACTTTAAAATTTAAAAAAACCAAATAATTTCTTAACATTGGCTGAATTGTCTGTTGGCCCTTTTTCCTCAATCATCAGTTGGTTGTACAACAGGCGTTGACTGGGAATGTGGGCATCCCGCCCTTCACCTCCACCCCTGCACTGGCAGCTCTGCGATCAGATTGCGCGATGCACGCTGGGAGAGGGGAAGGACGCCACCAGCGAGGGGAAGGGAGTGGGTGACCCAGGGTGGGCTTCCCTCTGGGACCTCGGTCCTCAGAGCTCAGTCTCCCCATTTTCTTCCGGAGATGTTTTGATGTTTTTCTAACAACTTAATACGTTCCCTGCAGCCACTCCCTGCCTTTGAATGCTTCGTTTGAAAAGCACGTTAGAATGCGCAGGCATTTAAATTGGTTCATTGTGGCTTTAATCTCTCGTCTAGTGTGTGACTTGATTGGCTTCCAAAAGCTCAGCTTTTATTTTTTACAAAGCGATGAATGGGAGGAGCCGAAACTAGCTCCCAGGGTTTCGGATGACAGGATGCGGAGCGGGGTGGATGCTCTAAACACCCAGAGGCAGCGAGGTTTGGAGAACCCTTCTTGCAGTTGGAAATGCCCAGGGCCTGGGAGGTGTGATGGTTGGAGACCCCAAGGTACTCAAATGGAACACTAGGGGTCCGGCAGGGTGGGGCGGGACTCGGGGGGACCTCAGACCCACGGATCAGCCTCAGATGGGGGCTTCTAACCTTGGAGGGGGGACCACTAACTGTCAGCTTGGTGAAGCTGCCGGCAGAGTTCAAGAGACCAGGGCCTCTTGGCCTGTGCTCCCAAACCACTTCATTCCAGGTCAGTGAAACACACAGGAATTAAACACGCACTTCTAGCTAAGCCAGATGCTACAACCACAGAAGCGAATAAGTGGGCACCACCTCTGCCTCAAGAAGCTTCCAGGGGGCTTCCCTGGTGGCGCAGTGGTTGAGAGTCCGCCTGCCGATGCAGGGGACACAGGTTCGTGCCCCGGTCCGGGAAGATCCCACATGCTGCGGAGCGGCTGGGCCCGTGAGCCATGGCCACTGAGCCTGTGTGTCCGGAGCCTGTGCTCTGCAACTGGAGAGGCCACAACAGTGAGAGGCCCGTGTATCGCAAAAAAAAAAAAAAAAAAAAAAAAAAAAAAAA